CAGGATGTTAAATACTGAGTACCTTGGGATTTGAATTTTAATCTGGGTTTCCTTGAACACTAAAACTACAGGAGAATGCAGGTCAGACTGGTGAATTGCAAATGTCATTTCACACTCCAAACTGCACGCAAGCACTTCTACTTGGGGGCTAAAATGCAGATTTGTTAGCAAGCAGGTGGAAGTGTCATTCTGTAGATAACATGGGAGGTGGCTCAGTTGGCAAAGTGCTTGTTGTGCAAGTTTAAGGATCTGAGTTCGAATCCCTCACACCCACATAAAAAGCTGAGCACAGTGGTGTGTACCTGTAATCTTAATGCTTGGTGGATGGGGGCGGGGAGGGTGGCCTGGGTTGGGAGGTAGGGTGGAGATCCCAGGGGCTTGCTGGCCAGACAGACTAGTTCAGTGAGCTTCAAATTCAGTGACAGACCTGTCTAAAAAAAGGTAGAGAGTGATAGATGAAGACATTTGTCATCAACCTCTGGTCTCCACATGCACATGTGTGCACCTGCACACACAGACACAGACACAGACACACACACACACACACACACACACACACACACACACACACACACACACACACACACGAATGTGTACACAAGCACACACGCAGACAAAAGCAAACCAATCAAATTGTGGGCAATTTCATGTGGTTCAAGACGACAGTTAAGACATTTATAAAGTGTTAATGGTTATTAACACACGTCTATCATTTTGAACTAAGCTGTTTTCCTTACCATACTGTTGGAAAACTCATTTTCACAGTAAGTCGAGTTATAATTCAGCATGGTGTCTTCTAAAAGGGCTTCAAACTTGCTCCCCAGCAGTCCACTTTCCATTTGGAAGACGTTAAGCCACCCTAAGCCATCTGAATGCAGATCATTAGGAAGTCAGCGGGAGTTGTCCCAGGAAGGTCGCCCCGAGGGTGAAGAGCAACAAGATAAAACCCAAGCAGGAGGTGAGACCAGGTGGAGACTCGCTGGGGTAGCGCTTGGGGGTGGAGCGGAACTGTTTCTAAAATGAGGATTTAACAAATTATGATCTCCGCTTCAGTGCTTGTTCACATGAAAAACTAAAGCTTCCGTTTAACTGCAGACAATAAGAATTTCATGCTGTTGGCACCCACTCTCTCCTCTCCAGGACTGGTATGGAAACGGGGAGGAGCAAAACCAAAGATTTGGATGCGGGTTAGCTACACCCAGTAGCCATCCATGACCTCAGATTCCTTTTTTGGATAGTCCTTGAATATTTTCCATTTGACCTTTACATTATCACACCAAAATGAGATAGCACTTTGCTTCTCCCCAATTCTCTGCTTTAAAGAATGCAACTGCCTGTCGGTGGTGGTGCACGCCTTTGATCCCAGAACTTGGGAGGCATAGGGCAGATGGATCTCTTGAGTTCAAGGGCAGCCTGGTCTATGTACAGCCAGGGCTACACAGAGAGACCCTGTCTCAAAAAACAAAACAAAACAATTATATATAGCCATGCATCACTTAGTAAAAGGGACATTAAAAAAAATTATTGTTGGGTTATTTTTGTCAAGCAAACATCATGAAGTGTGTGTCTACAAGTCTAGATGATATGCACTCCAGCTCTAGATGATGGCTACTAGGCTACAATCTGTCAAGTCCATGAATAGGGAGACATAGTTCCATGTTGCTGCCTCCACGCCTGTGTTCTCTTATCTTTCAAGAGACTTGAGATCACTGGCTTGGGCATAGTAAATAATTTCTGGACTAGACAGTATGAAACAGAGCTGGGCTTATTATATTAGAGTTATCTTTTAAAAAAGATTTATGAGTGTTTTGCCTGCATGTATGGGATGTGTACCACCTGCATGCCTGGTGCCCTCAGAGGCCAGAAGAGGGCATTGGATCCACTGGAGCTGGAGTTACAGATGGTTGTGAGCTGCCATGTGTGTACTGGGACTCACACCCGAACCCTCTAGATCAACCAACTGAATCATTTCTCAGTCTCATATTAGAGGTATCTTAATTTAGATTTTATAAGCCATAGTCAAAAGAGAGGTGTTCAAAAAGAAAAACATACCCGAGAGCATGTGTGTGGGCTTCTCAGAGTGACACTTCATTGTTTTTACAACAGTCATATAGAAAATTTTGGGTTTTGAAGTTATTATCTTCAACAGGTTGTGAAGAAACCCAAATGAGATCAAAGGGTGGTTCCTGAGGGGCACTGCCAGGATTATAAATTATTATGAGAGAGGTAGGAAATCATTACTAGCTAGTGTTGAAATTCCTAGAAAATGCCTGGGTAAAGGAGCAAGGCCCTACAAGGCCATGCACACCCAGGCTTTAAGCCGGCTTCATTGCCGTCTTCACAACACCCATACTGGAAAGGAATGTTCTCTGTTGGCAGCCTTCATGGCAAACGGCAGTTGTGTTTGAGCTCCTGCCTGGCCTTCCAGAGGCTTCAGACTCCTTGGTGAGTGGCGCCTTTGTTCCCATGTCCCCACGATCTTCTTTTCTGTCCTGCCTCATAATTCAGTGCAGTGTGCTACCACATTCAATAACATAGGCACCCACAATCCAACAGGAAGCATTTGTACCTAAACATGCAAGAGTACAGTGGAAATTCCAACAGGCGTCTCTCGGCTCAGGTACCTGTGATGGGACCAGTCTGACACACGCACCTTTTGCTGACAGGAACACTATTATGCTGCACCTAGCTGTTCTGTTTGGGTCAGTCATTTAGAGAAAGGCCTGTAGGCTGTCGGGAAAGGTTGCAGAATATGAATTTTCTACAAAATCGGGTGATTATGAATTACTTTTTTCTTAGAACCTAATAAAATTTAAATCCTTAAATTTATGCACTCATAAACAAAACAAATGAACATTATGTGAGGTAGAGAGGCTTAAGATATTTCAGTGTATTTTATACTCAGTTTAAGCTACTTGTCCAATGCTTATGGGACATGGGATATCTCTAAATCAAGAACCTTCTCAAAGTGGTGTCTACATGCATTAGTCTAACATAAACTTCAATCTAATCCTTCCCCACTGACTAGTCCTATCTTAAATAATTCACTTTTGGCCAGTGCCAGCAGCCTACTCTGGCAGCCTTGGTCTAGAGCTTCTTCCCCAGTCCTCGGTGAAGGCAGGAGATGCTTCCATGCTCTTGGCACTGTAAGAACCTCAGACTTCACAAGTTTCCTGCTCGTATTTAACAGCTTTCCTGCTCCATCTCACCTTCCAGGAGTCTATCTATCTGTGGCTATCTAATTTGTCTGGAATGAGATGTTTTGAATTCTTGCTTTACAGGCTCAACACCCATAACAGACCTAGACCTGTTGGTAACAGAGTTTTCTGACCCACAAGAAACTGTGAGAAAGTTTCATGTAGAATCATGGAAAAAATGACCAAAGGATGACCGCACACATCAGGCTTCCTCTCAGGAAACCGAAGAGTGTGGAATCAAACACTAACGGTGCTGGGTAGTCAACTACAGTGGGTTACTGTAACTGAGGAGTGCAGGTATAGTGTCCCTGAATGAGCACAGGCTACAGTCATTACGTAGCCACACTTCTTACACACTATTCAAACATCATAGATTTCTTCACAGTCCGATTAACACTGACACTTCATGAGACAAGGGTCTTATGTATGACATTTCATGACTGTGGGTCATTCCATGATGTCCATAAATAGGGATCAAATTATATGTCTGTCTTTTATCTTCTTTTTTTTTTTTTTAAATTTATTTATTTATTATGTATACAGAAGAGGGCACCAGATCCTATTACAGATGGTTGTGAGCCACCATGTGGTTGCTGGGAATTGAACTCAGGACCTCTGGAAGTGCAGTCAGTGCTCTTAACCTCTGAGCCATCTCTCCAGCCCTGTCTTTTATCTTCTATAGGGCAATAAAAACACTGAGACCTTTGTCTTCATTTCTTTATTATGTTTGGATCTTTAAGAAACATATATCATCATATATACCACTATTCAGTAAAAATCTATTCTAGGTTTTAGGAAGCATACACCACAAACTATTTTGTTTCTGGTCTCTAAGTCTACTAAGGGCTTATCAAAAAAGTAGGCTCTGATCTATGGAATCTCAAGCCTTGGGGTTTTCATTACTGCAAAATATGTTAAAGTGGATAAACTTCATTCCTGTTTTTCTTCTGGAATGGGATAATCATTTTGAAGTTTGTAGTCCATTATAAGAATATTCTATTCCACTGGGTGTGATGGCCCACGCCTTTAATCTCAGCACTGGGAGGCAGAGGCAGGCAGATCTGAGTTCAAGGCCAGTCTGGTCTACAGAGGGAGTTCCAGGACAGCCAAAGAAACACAGAGAAACCCTGTCTCAAAAAACCAAAAGAATATTCCATTTCTTATCTTTCATATCTTTGGAAAACCAACCTGGTAAAAAGTATTTCTTTCCCCTGTACAGTAAGGATGAATTTCCCAGAACACATCCCATATTACCTAGAATGAAATTACTATAGATAATGCACACACGCTGTGCTCACTTTAAGGACTATTCACACCAGCAACTACTCCACCCTGGAGACATCTCTGCGCCAGTCTGATCTATGTGTAGTTAGTTTCAGGCTACAGTCTACCCTGTAAGAGAACTCCTGGTATCTGACATTAGAAACAAAAAAGGGTAAGTGAACAAACATACTCACAGGATGTTTTCCAAAAGGTCCTCTGTACAAGTACACAAGACAGGGCTGGGAAGGTTTAAAGCTATGGCTTTGGGGAGCACCCAAGTGAGATGAAGGAAGGCATTTGTAAGAGTAGATTCTGCAGCATCAAAGGTAATTCTCGAAAAGAGCTGGGTGTCTTCTCGATTAATCTCAGTTCTGAGGCTTCAGAAGTTGAGAGCTACCAACAGTATCCAAAGGAAAGAGCCATTTCCAAAAAGCTAAGAAAGGTACGTGCCTGTAATTAGGCTACGATGTGGATGGTTGAAAACACTATGGTGGTATTAATGGAAAAGGAAATAATGAATACACAGACCACACAACACCATGAAAAGCAAAAAAACCTTTTTTTTTTTCCTCCATTTAAAAAGGTTTGCGGACACACGGACAGGCGCCGCTCACTCCTTCTTCTCGTCCTCTGGCATGGGGTCCGTGGGCGGCCCCTCCACTGTCGCGCTGTTGCTCTCTGAGCCAGTGTTACTGTCACTGGTCCCTTCCACCTCCAGGCTGTCCACCCCCTCCTGCCCACTCTCCTTGTCCTCAGGGGTGGACGTGCCTTCCTCCCCGTTCTGCTGGCTCTCGGTCGTCTCTTCCAGGTGTGTCTCCTCTGCAATCACACATTTGCCCGTCAGTCCCCAGACAAACACTTACTCTAACTATGCTGACGGCACAGATGTCTGTTGAGAACGAGAGCCACTAGCCTCACAGAGCCGGACAAGCACCTGAAATGGACCAGTAGGACCCAGGGATTTTTAAGCATATTTGAGACAACTTCGGGTGCAAAAGTCTACATTTTCCCTTACAGGTTTATGAAATTTAAATCAAACCAAACACTTGCGAGAACTGAGTTTTTGAAATTATCAAGTCTATAAAATACATACTGAATTTCAAAGACTTGCTATGACAAAAGAATACAAGATAGTCATAGGTGTGCGCACGCACCAAACACCACGTGTAGGTTAGAGGAGGACTGCAACTGTTGTGTTCCTTAAGAACTGTCCGCTGGGCTGGTTCCTCAAGAACTGTCTGTCTTAGCGGTTAAGAGCACTGGTTGTTCTTCAGAGGTCCTGAGTTCAATTCCCAACAACCACATGGTGGCTCACAACCATCTATAGTGAGATTTGGTGCCCTCTTCTGGCCTCCAGGCACACATGCAGGCAGAATACTGTATACACAATAAATAAATCTTAAAACAAACAAACAAAACTTCTGCCGTTTGGAGACATGACCTCTCACTGGTCTGGAAGTCACCAAGCAGGCTAGGCTGGCTGGGAATGAGCCCTAGGGATCTGTCTGCTTCAGCCTCTGCAGTGATGGGGTTCTGAGCGTGCACTGCTAAACCTGCTGTTTACATGTGGGCTCTAGTCTCACCCACTGAGCTCTCTCTAGCCTAGAATGTTAATAATTGAAAGATGTCGGTAACATTTTACTATTTTGCATACACTGGGTTAAATGTAACATTAAAATTAAGCCAGACACAGTGGCACCACTAGACATTTCAGCTGCTCAGAAAGCTGAGGTTAAGACTGCTTGTGCCCAGGGTTTGAGGCCAGCCTAGGCCATACAGTACAGCAAGATCCTGCCTGAAACACAAAATGAAGGCACAGGATGGAGATGCATGCTCTGTTGCAAGTCTTGCTGGGTGTTTCCTTTAGGAAGTTAAAAGCACAAGGTTTTTGACAACTCAAATTTTTTTCTTCAGTTTCCCCCTCCTTTTTCTTTTCCTTAAGTTAGAAGACAGAACCTGAGTAAACACCCTTTGCTGTCAGAGTAAGACAGACCTCATTCAAGGGCAAAACAGACTGAGCACACGGTCTTGTTGCAAGATGAGCAAAGAAGCGTACTCTGATTCTCAAGCATCTGCTGTAACCACAAAAATGTGCTTCAGTCCCAAATTTATGGTAAAAAACAGGTTCTCAAAAACTGAAAGAGGCCCAGAAAACGAAGATTAAAACCAGACTTGTCTGAAAAGATAATCTGCTGAGTTAAATAATGCATAACCATCTGGTAGAGGTAGTGATGTTCCATTAAACATTGTATAGGCAGTTGCTGTTTAGGTACAAAGCATGCCCATGTCCCTTCTATTTCCTGCAGACTCTGCTGAGACCCTACCTCTGGCTTTTCTCCTGTTTACCCACTAGATAGGGCCAATAGTTGCCAGAAGGCAAGTTGATCTCAAAACTCCAAGAATAACCAAGTTCATTAATATTTTAAGTAAGTTTTACCTTTTTTTTTAACCCCAAAGAATGCTTTTATTTAGGAAAATCAGAACATCAAAAAGCAAATTGCTCTAGGGGAAGGTCAGCTATTCATATATAAGGCCTAAATAATTGTCATTTTAGGCTTTATGGGCCAGGAAGTCTTTGTTTCAAGTCCTGAAATCTCAATCTCTCTCTCTCTCTCTCTCTCACACACACACACACACACACACACACAATTACTCTGCCCAATGTCATCCTAAGACACCAAAGACAACAAATCAACAAATCTTGGGGAAAATGATCACATCTTATGTAAATAAGTAGCCATAAAGGTTAAAATATTATTGTCTATTAATCCTATGCCAAATCCGGGACTGGAACGCACTCAGAGGCAGGTGCTTGTCAAATGAAGAAATAAGCTATAAAGCTCAGTGAAGTCACAGTGCCAGCAATGGGGAAAGGGACGAGGCCCCTTTGTGTCTCTAGAGCCACACGCACCCACCTGGGGACAACCAAGAGCTCAGACTGCAAGACTGAGCCACCATAGTGCCCCGCAGTTTACTGTGGAGCGTGAGATTGGACAGTCACAGAGATGAACTAAAGAGGGCGCTGCAGAGCACCCAGCAAGGAAGGTCAGAAGCCAGCTGTCAAGGGCCCTTTCACATCCCAGGGGCGGAGAAGCCCGATTCTACCGGTGACCCGTTTCTACCGGTTACCTGTTTCTATGGGGTTGTTCTCCTCGTCCTTCTTCTCCTCGGCTTTGTTTGCTACTTGCTCTTCCTCAGGGGCGATGCCGCCCTGACTGCGCTCGGCTTGCTCCACTGCCTCCTTCTCCCTCTCCTCCTGCCTTTTGCGGGCCTGTTCCTCCGCCTGGGCAATTTCAGCTGCAATTTTCTCCATGTCTACCTCCACCTTCAGACCGCATAACTAGTCAAAAACAAATCAGAGAACTCTCAGCAATGCTCTCTTCTTCGAACCCTGGAGTCAGGCAAGTTGTTTCTTGGCTTAATAATGATATTTACACAAGGGAGAAAAACGAAGCAGTGTTGTGTCTCCAAACTGTACAGGACGCAGCACACCAGACAGCGCAGGGCAGGGCTGCTGGGGCACTGCCCAGGACCGGGCTAGCCTTAGAATGCCCACCCACACTGCGCAGGGCAGGGCTGCTGGGGCACTGCCCAGGACCGGGCTAGCCTTAGGATGCCCACCCACACTTCAGCTACCAAACACTCCATTCATTCATTTATTCATTCCTTTATGTTTTTAAGGTTTGGTTTTTTTGAGACAGGGTCTCTCTATGTAGTCCTCACTAGGTAGACCAGACTGGCCTTGAACTCACTGAGATTCTCTTACTTCTACCTGGGATCAAAGGTGCGCCGCACCCACTCAGTTGAGATTTACTTGTTTTAGTACAAAGTGCAACTCAACTACATCTACTGAAGACATCTATGAATAAATTACAATAAAGTGAAAATAATCCACAACTACGAAGACTTTAAACAAAAGCATTAGAGGGCTCTATCACCTGTGGGCCTAGTCCTTAAATGTATACTACATGACACTGCAAATTTATTGTAATTATTTCAGAAAAATGGGAGTAATTTTATAAAGACAGTACAAGCTCTACTATGATGTCAGTACTGTTTCAAAGGGACCAACACTCAACAAAAAATTACTTAAAAACAAAAAAACCGCCGGGCGGTGGTGGCGCACGCCTTTAATCCCAGCACTCGGGAGGCAGAGCCAGGCGGATCTCTGTGAGTTCGAGGCCAGCCTGGACTACCAAGTGAGTTCCAGGAAAGGCACAAAGCTACACAGAGAAACCCTGTCTCAAAAAAAAAAAACAAAAAACAAAAAACAAAAAAAAAAAAAAAACAAAAAAAAACCCAAAGCAACAGGCACATGATAAAGGCAGTCAATGAATGGAATGATACCCTTTTCAGTTCATTGTTAAAGGAATCTGTGCTTTCCAGGAACTTCCTCTTCTTCTCCTGGTGTCGTTCCTCTATCTGAAGAAGTTCCGCTTCTAGTTTTCGCTGCAAGGGATCAGATCAGATTACGGACAATTATGTTTTCTCTAAAGCAGATGTAAAGCACACACAGTATGTCGTTTTAAAAAAGAGTTCAGTCAGGCGATGGTGGGGCACGCCTTTAATGCCAGCACTCGGAGGCAGAGGCAGGTGAATCTCTGTGAGTTTGAGGCCAGCCTGGTCTGCAAAGTGAGTTCCAGGACAGGCTTCAAAAAGCTACACAAAGAAATCCTGTCTTGAAAAACCAAAACCAAACCAAACCAAACAAACAAAAAATTTTATACTTTAAAGTATAATTTTTCATTTTAAATTATGTGTATGTGGGTATATACACAAGCGTAGGTGCCCAGGGAGGCCAGAAGAGGGTGTTGGGTCCCCAGGAGCTCGAGTTATAGGTGGTTTCAAGTACCACATGGGTTCTGGGAACTGAATTCAGGTCCTCTGGAAGAGCAGTACATGTTCTTAACCACTGTACTTGCCACTACCATGTTCTATCACAGTCTTCAGTGACAAACTCACTGAACGTCTGCAATGGTCCTCTCCCTTCAGCTTCTGTCTCCAGTCAGGCACAGGTGACACTACTTGACAGGTCTACTTATACACTCTATCAGAACCATGTCACCTGGGATGTGTGCCATAGACTCTTTTTATTATAACGAATGCTTTCTGCCCTTACCTGATGAACCATTAAAGACTGGACCTGTCGCTTGAGGACCTGCATTCTAGCTGTTGTGACAACCGACCGCACATCAGGTACCACGCTCTCACTGAGGATCTCACTGATGAGGCGGTGGTTTCTCTGGAAACGGGCAGTGGCTGTATGCTTCATTGAAAAGCCATCATCATAATCTGGAATGAAGGAAATGTCCTGGAAATTAGGTGGCTAGTAACCAGAACAATGTTAACAAGCAATTACCAAGTAAGTATGGCCCTCAGTGTCCTAGCAAGTGGGCTTGTCCAGCATCCTGGGAATCAGAGCAGGCCACAGTAAGAACCACACAGAGACAGAAGACAACCGGCTGAAATGTTGTTTCCATAAAGCTAGTAAGGCAGAGCTTCTCAACCCATGGATCAAACCCCTGGGTGAGGCACCGAATGACCCTTTCACAGAGGCTGCATGTCAGATATTTACATTACAATTCATAACAGTAGCAAAATTAGTTACGAAGTAGCAACAAAAATAATTTTATGGTTGGAGGTCATCACAACATGAGGAACTGTATTAATAAAGGGTCACAGCATTAGGAAGATGGAGAACAACTGTACTAAGGGATGATTTGTGTCTGAGGTTTAGTTAAAACACAGACAACATATGTTCATATCTTTTAGCCCTGGGATCCACGTGGAGCCCGCATGTGATGGCAGAACTGGAAATTCTGCCAAACGTTCTGCTCTCCCAGTAGTGATCTAAGGCATTTGATAAATGCTGGACTGTAAACAGTTAAAATTAATGAAAATACTCATTTGTAAAATTAACTTATCACCATCTTCTCTAGCAATATTTAGTTTTCCAGGCAGTATTTATGGTTTATTACATTAAAAGTGGTAAAGACCCAAACTAATCTTATAGAAAAAAACAATGACCTGATTTCAAGGCTGGGAGATGGTTCACTTGATAAAGTGTTTGCAAGCAAGAGGGTCTGAACTCGAATTCCAGCCAGCATCAAGAAAAAGCTGAGCGTGGCAGATTCGGGAGACTCGGCGGTCACTCTGGCTAAAACAGCAAGCTCTAGTTCAGAGAGACTGTCTCAGAATACGGCAGAAAAGACACTGAGGAAGCAATCTGGACGTCACCTCTGACCTCCACATGCTTGCACACGGAAGTACAGGGCATACACTACACCCAACCACATCACAAAAAGGTGGAGACTGAGGAAGATACTCAACACTGACACACACATGAACATACACTACACACTCAGAGATATTTGATTCTAAAGTTATTTTTAATTTTTGCCAGTTTACAACTGTACATGGCTGTTGTTAATGTGTAAAGGTGCTACTCAAATTTAGGTACATTCAGTACACATCTGTTATTTTTGGTGTGTGTGATGCATGCATGGAGGCCAGATAATGGCAGGTGTCCATCTCTTTCTGCCCTATCCCTTAAAGACAAGGTCTCTCACTGCACTGGAAGCTCACCATTTTGACTAGGCTGGCTGCCCATCATGGGTCCAGAATCTGCCTGTTTCAGCTCCCCAAAGCTGGGCTTCTGGAGATGTGCCAGCTCTCCTATGCTTGGCTTTTTATATGTGGTTGGAGATTTGAACTTAAGTCCTTGTGCTTGCACAGCAAGAGCACTTACCACTGGGTCATCTCTTCAGCCCCAGGGCGTGTGATTTTTTTGAGACAAATTGTCTTAGTCTCAAGTGCTGGGACTAACAAGTGTGTACTACCATACCCAGCATATATGCTTATTTCTAGTAACACAAGTGTTTTCCTTTATCTTGCAGTATCACCTTCGCACACCTGGTAGCAATCTGCACTAATATCTTATTACGATCAATCCATGTGAGTCTATTAAATGGGTAACAGAATTTATTAAGATATAAAGTAAGGAAATACACTCACAAATGCAGAACAGAGTAGACATCTGACATCGTCTTTGATCTGACCAGAAGTGAATCCACCTCACAGGCAGGAGAGTGAATCCACCTCACAGGGAGACGGGCACGTGACCCGACCCTTTTTTCTCTCTCTCTCTCTCTCTCTCCTTTTAAGAGGTCTTGTACAATGGCAGGAAACACCACCTCCTTCGGGCCCTATAGCCCGAGGTCATGGGTGGAGCAAATACCACTAAAATATCTACTTACTCTTTTTCTTTACATTAACTCATTAAACAAAGCAAGTTCTCGCTTGCACAGCGGTGGTACTCGCCTTTAGTCCCAGCACTGAGGAGGCAGAGCCAGGTGGATTTCTGAGAGTTCGAGGCCAGCCTGGTCTACGGAGCAAGATCCAGGACAGGAACCAAAACTACATGGAGAAACCCTGTCTTGGAAAACAAACAAAACAAAACAAAACAAAACATCAAAGCAAGTTTTCCTTCCAATATAGATAAAAATAAAGGTTGTCTCTGAACCACCCAGTCCTCTCAGTGTCTCACAGGGGTATAGGTACCATGCTTAGGAAGCCCTGTTACACATGGAGGCCTGCATGCTACACATGATGGTCTCTGAAGAGCCATTTAAAAAGCCTTCACTATCTTGCATGAATCAAGGTCTGCCTGGTAGATGGACCTTCTAACAGTTTCTAGGAAGTTAGCAGATGCTGCCCTCATCTCTTGATGGGTGGCTCCCATCTTCTGGTTTTCTGTATATTTCTACTTCTCAAGTCCTAGAGCAGTGGCTTTCAACCAGTCTGTCATGACCCCCTGGGGGATCAAAGCACCCTTTCATAGGGTTGCATATCAGATATTTACATTAGGATTCATAACAGTAGCAAAATTACAGTTATGAAGTAGCAATGAAATACTTTTATGGTTGGGGGGGGTCACCACATGAACTGTATTAAAGAGTTGCAGCATTAGAAAGGTTGAGAACCACTGTCCTAGAGTCATATATATATTACTTTTTTTTGGTTTTTCGAGACAGGGTTTCTCTATGCAGCTTTGGAGCCTGTCCTGGAACTCACTCTGTAGCCCAGGCTGGCCTCGAACTCACAGAGATACTCTTGGCTCTGCCTCCCGAGTGCTGGGATTAAAGGCGTGCACCACCACCGCCTGGTTAGAGTCATATTATATTAATGTAGATTCATAATTATTATATTCCATGTTACTGTTCATGTAAGAACCTCTCAAACTTAGTTCCTGCTGTTATAGTTTGCGTAGGAAATATTGTATTTTCTACAGAGGCTTCTGAGTTGCTAACCTTTGTTCCCACTGTGCAGACCTCCGCTCTCCCAGTTACTTGCAGACTTGCTCTTCTACTATTTTTCTGTATCAATCACTTCATCTGGATAATCAAAGTCTGCATTCGTACCTTTAGCAGTGCTAATAATGCTTAGCACTCAATTTCTGTTTCTAATCCACATTAAGATCAATCCACATGAGTCTATTAAATGGGTAACAGAATTTATTAAGATATAAAGTGAGGAAATACACTCACGATTACAGAACGGAGTAGACATCTGAAGTTGTCCTCTGATCTGACCGGAAGCGAATCCACCTCGCAGGCAGGAGCAGGGAGAAGGAGCATGTGACCCTTCTCCCTCTCCTTTTAAGAGGTCTTGTACAATTGCAGGAAGCACCGCCTCCTTTGTGCCCTATAGCCCGAGGTCATGGGTGGAGCAAATACCACTACTCCACATTTTATTACATTCTATTGCATTTGTGAGAACTTTTGCCAGTAACCCCAATGAGTCCTTTAGAAGCTCATTTCTGAGACTTCCTCCTTACTTAGCTGAATTTATTCCTGTCGTTTGGTGCCATTATAACCTCTTCCACTTTTTAAATCTCTTTAAAGTTCTTAAGAACTCCCTCAGGTGTTTTTAAAGTAGGATCTTCAATTAGTTCTTGGCGTTGTTGTTGTTGTTGTTGTGTTGTGGCTGGCAGTTGCTGCTCCCACCCCGTCCACCATGCAGCAGGACAGAGACACTGACAACATTTACACAGCAGGGTTCAGTTTGCAGAGGAGCACGCTCCTGAGGGGAGGGGCTGCCTTGGGGCCCTTGCAGCTGCAGACGGCCGGGCTGCAGAGGCCAGGAGAGCAATTTGCACATCCACACATGGAATCCTAATTAGGAAGCCTGATCATCTGTGAGAAATGTATGTGTAACCCATGACACCCTGTCTACATGTAATATATGATAGGCACTTACGAGTGATCTCATGAGTGGTATTCTCAAATTCATACTGGATTCTGAATTACGTTTTTATGATGCTTCCACACACTCATAAATTTTTACTTCCAAGAGCCTTTAATTCAGCAAATTTAGGTAATCAGTAAGATTGGATGTGGCAATTAAGAGCAAGGACCTGAGTTCAATTCCTAGTAGCAGCTCCAGAGGATTTGCCATCCTCTTCTGGCCTCCTCAGGCACTGCACTCACACGTACAAACCTACAGGCTTGCTACACACATAATTAAAACAAAAAAAGACTGGATGTAACTGGAATGTCTTTAAACTTTTAGAAAATAAGTAAGCTGGGTGTGGTGGCACACCCAGCACTTTTTTTTTTTTTTTTTTTTCCCCAGACAGGGTTTCTCTGTGTAGTTTTGGTGCCTGTCCTGGAACTCATTCTGTAGACCAAGCTGGCCTCGAACTCACAGAGATCCTTTTGGCTCTGCCTCCCAAGTGCTGGGATTAAAGGCATGCGCCACCACCGCCACCCGGAACTCCCAGCACTTTTATCTCAGCACTCAAGGCAGAGTCAGGCGGATCTTGGATTATATAGTGAGCTCCACTCCAGGACAGCTAGGGCTATGTCAATACCTTGTCTCAAAAAACCACACCACACCACACCACACCACACCAAACCAAACCAACCAAACAACAAACAAAAAACTCAAAAGGACAAAAACAAACAAAACAAAATAAAACAAAACAACCAACCTACCAAACAAACAAAAAACCGAAACAAACAAACAAACAAACAAAATCAACTAACTAACCAACCACAACAACAAAAAACCAAAAACAAACAAAAAACCCTATAATGTTGCTTAGGGTGTGTCATTAGAAGCCTGTAATCCAGAATTTGGAGGCTGAGGCTGGAGAATGAGTTCAAGGTAAATCTGAGCAACACAGTGAGACCATCTTGAAAAACAAACAAATCCTATATTCTGAGTACAGACTTTGAAAAGTATTAAATAGCCGGGCGGTGGTGGCGCACACCTTTGATCCCAGCACTCGGGAGGCAGAGCCAGGCGGATCTCTGTGTGTTCGAGGCCAGCCTGGGCTACCAAGTGAGTTCCAGGAGAGGCGCAAAGCTACACAGAGAAACCCTGTCTCGAAAAACCAAAAAAAAAAAAAAAAAAAAAAAGAAAAGTAATAAATACATCTTTTCCCCCCCTTAATCATTTCCTACACTCTAAAGGGTATTTTTCTCATGGCAAAGTCACACACACACACACACACACACACACACACACTTAAAATCCTATTATCGGAATAACTTAAAATTATGTTTTTCCATTTAAAAGACTAAAAGCCTTGAATTAAGATGTATCTTCTATTTTAATTCAGAGATTAGAATGCACATACAAACCCCACTTCCCTCCTCACCATCTGGGTCCTCAGCAGGCTGAATGCTCATGTAAGGCTCTCCTTTCTCCATGCGAGACTGTCTCTGTCGACTCTCTTCCTCTAATGCAGCTTCTGCACGGCTTTTCGCATTAATATATGCAAGGTATGCAGGGGAATTATGATAGGCCTTCATAGATTCATTGTACTCTATCTGCAATGGAAAGGGGTGTTGGTTTTATCATGTGCATCCTATAGGCTACCGTGTGTGCCTGCGTTGGCCGTCGGAATGTCTGGGGCATGAGGCAAAGAGTGGCATCGGCACAGCCATCTTTCTGAACAGAGAACACGAGGTTCAGACGGCAGGTGATTGGAGCTTGGTGGACGACAAAACTTCAGGACTGCCTCAGCTTTCTGGTCAAATCTTATGTTTCTTTCATAAATAATAAAATATTTTATTTATTTTTAAAATATTTTATTTATCCCCCTACCTTTTCTGCTTCGTATTCATTTAAATATTCTTGTTTCTCTTCATCAGTGAGATCTCGCCACATGCCACCAATAATCTTGCCAATCTCCCACAACTTTAGGTCAGGGTTGGAAGCCTTTACTTGGTCCCAGACCTTAAAAGTCAACAGTTGAAAATTCAATATTAACGCCTAAGTATATAGTCATTTAAAAATACTCTAACATGGAAACCTTTAGACACAAACAAAAGCAGAGAAGACAGTTTCAAACTACTATTACCAATCAGCCTGCTTCAAAACTCCCAATAGATGGCTCATCTCATTTCATCTTTACCCTGCTGGACCTCATACACCATGTCATTTTACTCATAAATACTTCAAACTGATAATTTAAGATCATTAATCACAGTACATGCTTACAATTAACCAAACAATTAAGACTATGTCTCTAACAGTTCAAGCGAATTTAGTAGTAGTTAATTTGTATTATACAATGGTATCATACTATCAAACACATATGTAATAATTATGATCAAGACAATATTTTACTATACTCACTAATTAATTCATTTTGTGCTCTTAGAATTGATCCTAAGGGCTCTTTTTTTTTTTTTTTTTTTTTTTTTTTTTTTTTTTTTTTTTGGTTTTTCGAGACAGGGTTTCTCTGTGTAGCTTTGCGCCTTTCCTGGAACTCACTTGGTAGCCCAGGCTGGCCTCGAACTCACAGAGATCCGCCTGGCTCTGCCTCCCGAGTGCTGGGATTAAAGGCGTGCGCCACCACCGCCCGGCCGATCCTAAGGGCTCTTACACGTAGGCTAGGCAAATGTTTTACTACTGAACTACATCCCAGACTTATTATTTTTAATAAAAATAATATATCAATATAAACAGTCTTACATTTTCCTTTCTTTTTTTTTTTTTTTGGTTTTTCGAGACAGGGTTTCTCTGTGTAGCTTTGCGCCTTTCCTGGAACTCGCTTTGGAGACCAGGCTGGCCTCGAACTCACAGAGATCCGCCTGGCTCTGCCTCCCGAGTGCTGGGATTAAAGGCGTGCGCCACCACCGCCCGGCTACATTTTCCTTTCTACTTAACATTTTTCTCATGTCTTTCAAATATTCTCCAAAAGATACTACTTTCATGGCTACAGACTAATCTGTTTTAAAGATTTTAGCAGTTTATTTAACCATGCTCTTCTTGGATCTGAGTTCTGGAATTCTGAAATCAGAATGAACCACTTAAAAAATTACAAGTTTTTTAATCCTTCCCCCAAATATGTGTAAGAGAGATGCCAAGCCAGTCTGAACTGGCATATAAGGCCAGTCAGCAGACTGGCCCCTAGTACACACCTTTCTGCTGTACCTCATGTAGGGCATCAGCGGCTTATCTGGTGGCTTTGGAGGCTTTGGAATCGTAATACCAGAGGATGCCTGTAAAAGAGTTAAATATATTCATTATTCAATTGCAAGGAGTTCACTAGCACCTGAAAAGAAAGTCCCTTAAAAATTCTAGTGCGCCTTTCTTCTACTCGTCCATGGATACAAGATCCTTATATTTTCTCCAAAGAAAATAGATATCACTGCAAATTCAGAAATGTTTATATCAAAAGAAAATGACTTTAAACACATAATTTTAATGTTTTACTTAGCAGTTTATTTCCACTGTTTGACAACCTGGCTGCAAGAATAAAATATTATACAGAATCCACACACTGAAAATGGGGTTATATGCCAAACACCTCACATTTAGGACATTACCTGGTATCCTTTTATTTGCTCAGTTAATATTATGCATATAGTCAACATTCCATATCTGTAGACTCTGAGCACTTAGCACTTACCATACACGCACTGTCTACAGGGGAATCTTGTTATCATGCCAGGAATGTACTCCATACAAACAACACAAAGACCACTTCCCAGGTTAAAAAAAATTACCAGTAAAAAACAGGAGGTAACTAGAAATCTAGCAAATAAATTTAAAAAGAAAATATGGGGGCTGGAGAGATGGCTCAGAGGTTAAGAGCACTGGCTGTTCTTCCAGAGGTCCTGAGTTCAATTCCCAGCAACCACATGGTGGCTCACAACCATCTGTAATGTAATGAGATCTAGTGCCCTCTTCTGGCCTGCAGGGATACATGCAGAAAGAACACTGTACATGATAAATAAAATAAATCTTTAAAAAAAAAAATATGTCCTTTAGAAATAGGGATTTATTTCTCTTAAGGTTTTACATTAACTTGTAGTTCTCTGTCTTATGTCTTTGTAGTCTTGGGGTCAAGATGTGCAAACTGGAGTCGGACTGTTCTTGTCCTCGTCAGACTGCCACACAGAAATAAACAAGCGTTAGGTGCTGAGCACTGGCAGACCCAGGGCCTTGCTTATGTTACTTCTGAGGCCCATTCCACAACACTGTTTTTGTGGAAAAGAAAGGAGGACAAGGAAAGACAGGACACAGAAAAAGGAAAAGACAAGAAAAAGGAATAACATCTTTTCAAAAAGGCAGTGAGGAAGTCGGTGAGAGAAAACATAAAGGAGGAAGCAACAGAGTGTTCAGTGACTGGTCCTGGCTCCGCGAGGAGACAGAGGCAAGGAGACACCAGGGGACTTCGCGGATGCCCCACAGAGAGCTGCCGCTCCAAGGGCACCTGGGTCTGAACTTTTCTATCTCCTCTTCATGTCACTGCTTTGATGAAGGAGTCAGAATGAGAATAAGTAACACAGTCCACCGCACTTGGCTCTGACGTTGCGGGGAAACCTGACACCGACTGCCAGAACAGCGAGAGAACTGCTTGCTTCCCTCCAATTACCAACACACACACTGGCCAGTCCTTGCTGCTCTGACCCACAGACAGATCTGGGCTTAGCCAGCAGTGGGCAGTGGAATGAAGTGAGACGTGTGGGCAGAAACTGTCACAGTGGGTACAGTGGCCAATCAGGGACGCCGGCATCACGGTTCACAGGAGCCCTAAGAAGTCAGAGTCCTGTGTGGCCAACCTTATGCGTGGAAAATCTGCTTCTCAACACAGAACGTGATTAGAAAACATTTTTTAACCCAGAGCCCAAACGAACTTTTGGAACACAAAGTGGGTTACAAAAAATAAAAAGAAAAGGACAAGGTTGTGCCCATATTTGAAGGTACCAAAATACTATTAACAGGTAAAAATTTTAACATGTTTACTTTTCAAACTTTAAGTATGAATTAAAACAGCTAAAAAACAAAGTTTATTAATATTTGCTTGTATCTTCCAAAGAATCACATTTTAGAACATTAATAGTTTGCTAATCCTCCTTTCCCTAAGAAAGTTACCCAAATAAAATTACAAATAAAAAACAAAACAAAACAACAACACAAAACAACACTTCCCCCATTCCCTAAGAATAAAAAAGAGAAATTCCAGTTGGTATGGGGATCCTAAAGAAGCTTATCACCACACATCACCAATTCTTAACATCTCAGTCACCTTCCTGAATGTCCCAAACAGTTTTCTACTCTGCACTGAGCACTTTATCTCATCCTTTCTTGTTAAGAGTCAACTAGAACCGACCTAAGGGAGGTCCTAAAGGAGAAAAACTGCAACTAGCTCTTCGGCTAAGTGGCCCCGGAGCACAACTGGAGAGCTCAACTTGGCTTTGCCGATGAGGCCCTTACCCTGCTGCTATCAGGAAATCCCCCACCCGCAGCACCCATTCTCCATCTTCCCACTTTCTCTTCCCATTTGCAATGAATTGGAGGTGGAGAAGCAACCGTATGCTTGTTAAAACTGTTCTTATCTAAGAGTTAGATCCTAGTCAATCTGAGGACAAAGTCCATGATTTTGTGATCAATTCATCTGGGATAGCAATTCATCTGGGATAGCACAACAGAATTTTCTGTTGTTTCTCAATTCTTAGCTGTTTCTTTGGTAAGGTCTTATTTAAGGATTTTCTTCTAGCAAGAAGTAGGCTGCTTTTAATACTTTGTCTCAATCTGTGTATGAACCTGTATATTAGGGAATGTGAACCATCATCTGAACAAAGTGATCAGGTGTGGGCTGCACTCAAAGCTGTCCTGGGCCCTCCAAAGGTCTCAATATGGTACCTAAGCACTTTATTATCTGAAAACAACCCACATGTAACAAAGCTCTTACTTGGGGTTTCAATGAACTATTGCACCAAATCACTATGGCTATTTATAGACAATTTACTCAACATTCCTCACAAAGTAGTGCATTACTGGGGTCATTCTCTACAAACACATTTTATAAGCAACCAAGTCCCAGAACAAGAAGTCAGGGATACGATAGAGGGCAAACCCCTAGGTTTCTAGCAGTTTGCTCACAATAGGGACAAGAGGACAATAATACAGAGAAAACAACCACAAAGCAAACACCAAACTTCTCACTCCTAACCCACTCCCCTACACTGAAGGCTAGAGCTCACTCTGCATTCTGAGTTCTTCTCTTCCCCAGGAGGGAAGGGGTTGAAAACACATGACCAGCCTAGGCCCAGAAAGGAGTACACTCTCCCTTTTCTAGTAAGGTTTCTACCAGAGAAGCCTCACAGCTATATACAAATTAAGAACTGATTGTTTATACAAACCCCAAACCAAGTTATTCTAGGATCACAGTGACCCCTGTTCCATTAGCACGGCCACCAAGAGCTTACTGTATGGAGCTATTCAGAATTATTGTTCTTAGTTACTACCCATAAGTAAATTTCTATATTAACACAAATGATCCAAAACTAATTCTGCCTACTGTGTGAATTATAATGTTCTTTTTCATCTGATAACCTTGCTACTCATTATACTTGTGAAACACCACATTTAGGCCAGGGAAAAACATGTACTGCTGCACATAGAAACTATGTGCAAGGCACAACGCACACATAAACATAAATTTTGTCAGAATCCTTTTCAGATACTGTGAAATACGTATGGCACATAGAACTTGATATGCTTATGAAGTACAAATTATGCAGAAACAATGAAAAATTTAGACAAACAAAACCTATCAAGCTAAGCAATGTGCTTATCAAGATAGACACCCGGTTGACAGTGACAAGTCCTCAGCTATAGCTTTCCTACAGGGTGAGAGGGCTTTTTCTTGAGTTACATTTCTTTTTTATAAATACAGCAAAAGAAAACCAGATACTAAAAAGTTTACAGCCATTCTGTGTTGTATATATTCTTACCAACATCATATTCTAATGTAGGTATTTGACTTTTGGATTTATTACCTTAATTTCCTTGGAGTTTAAAATAATTTTTAGGAATCATCTTTCTCACAACGGATTGGAAATGGACCTCTAGTTGTTCTTATGTAACACCTAGAGTTAATTCCACTCCAGTTTTATTATGAAATTCCTTGGGGTTGACAGTAAAATCTCTTTTTCTGTATTAAACTGGAAAGAACAAGTCTCAGATAGGTCAATTACTAAATCCAAAAGACAAATAACTGAGTGTGGAAGTTTGGATGGGCAGGTCTGCCCAAAGCTTTCTAGTCCAGATGAAGCCAGGTCTAGAGTCCCAGCATTCCTTATGAAACTACATCCTTGAGAATAAGGCCAATTACCTTAAACAATGAAAGACACTCTTCATGACATAAAATATTTTAACCAAAAGAATTCTAGTTTTGTTTACATACATAGTATGAGCATTAAGTGTTCAAGGCTTAATCCCTACTGATCACCAAACAGAATGGATTTCTTTTCTTCCAAGTACATATCCAGACTGTAGTTTTTTTTTTTTTTTTTTTTTTTCCAGTATAAGACTGTACAAAACAGTTGAACGTCAGGTTAAATTTTTTAAATGGCTGTGCTTCTGATTCAAAAGGACCTAACTCTGGAGGCATTTCTGGTCAGTTCCAGTTGTTTGCCGGAGGCTGTAATAGTTGATTCTCCTACCGTGACCCGGCTGTTGGTGCCCGGGTTCCCTCCCAGCCTGTAGTTGTTGTAGGCGAGATGACTGTATGGATTGTATCCCACAAACCCTGGTGTGCTGGGCATTTGCTGATGGAAACAAATGAGACAAAAACACGAATGAGAAATGAGCTCAAACGAGGAAAACACAGAAATGAAAAATGATCTGCATATGGCATGCAAAAGCAACCTGAATTTAAACAAGCAATGATGGGTTGTAACTGTTTTCTGTTGTTGTTGAGGAATTTAGTTTGTCTTTTTTCAAATTGAGAAACCAGCCTGCAAGTATGTATGTGCATGCATGTGCGTGTGAGTCTGTGTATGTTTCTTCTCTCTCCCTCTTCTCCTTGGTGGGGGTTAGGGATGCTTGTGGGACTGAGTATGTTGTGCGTTGTTTCTGAGGAAAGCATCCCACTGCAGTTTCAAACATCTACAACTATTTCATGGTCAACAGTATGAGATAACAATTTGGCAATCTGTGATGTCTGAGATGGAAAAGCTTCAAGTATGATAAACTTTAAGTCTGAAACACTACATGCAAACGAAACATGATTTATTTGACAGTTATGTGGATGTCACCAAAGTACTCATTTACTCAAAACAAAAACAAGAAATGGATCTGCTTTTCAAAGACAGCTTTCAATCATTTTCTATGTGACGAATGAGAAGAGACTCAAGTCAGGAAGCCAGGAATTGTCAATAGGAAAGAACATATGCTGGATTCAATGGATGCCACATGCATGATTTCCAACAAGGACTTGTAAGAAATGCACAGGTCTCATACTGGGCACTATCTGATCTTTAACCCAGTCAGTCTTTCACAGGCTTTCTCTTCCATCTCTTCTTTGATCCATCTTCCACAGGTAATCATGAACAGTTTATGCATTTCATTTTAATGAGAACTACTTTTTTAGTTGACAAACTTGAACTTCTTTTTCATCTGATTTCCTGAAGGCTCTCAGCCTTTCCAAATACAACTGCTCACTGCAGCGAAAAAATTCTTGATTTTTGTGAATTATGTGTTGATATAATCACAAATGGGTTCTTATGTAATTGTGGCCTTGTGGTTAATATAATGACATCCAATGTTCATAAAATCAAGGCATAATGCATAAAAAGAATGTAGTAAAGAGACCAAAAGTGTCTAGTTTACTTAGTAAAACTCAATCATAATAAGTGATAGCAATGCCATTTTTACATGCAGTTAACATAGCTCTCCTGAATTATACAAAAGGACACTTGACACATTCCCGCTAAACTTAGGTTGTCACAAAATAAATGCCATTTCCTAAAACCCTTGTATATGCCCTTGTAAACATCCTTAGTATCCAAAGACATTCAAGCAGGCAGCACATGTGATACTTTTTAGAGGAGAATAAAGTGATCAATTATAGCCCATAGTTAGAAAAGACGCAAATTAGGCATATTTAAGTAGCAAAACACAGATGAAAGAGCAAAGGCACAAAGGAAGTGTGCATTACACATGGAGTGGGTGGTTCATCTGAGTGGTGGCTGTGGACGGGGTGGGTGGTGGTGACGGTGGCAAAAACAATGGAGTAAAAAAAGAGAGAGACTACCTCATTTTGATCTATTCTGCTAGATGTTATAATCCCTAGTTTCTGGATTTTGTGTGAAAATGTGAAATTATGGTATGAGGGATAAAAAACAATCCCCTTCTTTGTATGAAAACTCAGAAGGGGATCCTGGTTTTTAAAATACCTTTATCTGAAAAATAATAGCAGGTCTGTTCATTACACACTACTGGAGGCAGTATTTATATGAAATGATACCTCCAAACATTGCATAAAGAATGAGAGTCACAGGTTCAATATGCAGCAATAATGTAAGCAAATAGGGGAATTAAAAAATTGAAACTAGCGTATTGTAATTATACCATTTCTAACGTTGAGGGGCCTAGTTATATCTTTGAGGTGAGGCTCTTAATCACTCAACTCAATCTGTACACAACCATGAGGATATGATGGAGATGGTGATAAGAAATATTCTTTAAGAAAGAAAATAATGAAGCACAAGACTTTAGAGTCTACCGGAAGCAACTTTACAGACTGTCAATTACATGGAGTGAACTTAAGAATGTATGATATGTTTTTAAAAAGAGCATTTAAGGAGAGACAAATGCTGATAACTGTAACTAAAACATTCACCTACGGGTTAGTGAATCAGACTAGTTACCTAGTGGAGAAAACCAAATGACACAGGAACTCATTAGTAGTAATAAAAGGAGACTAGCCTGAAATTAGTTGTAGAGGGCATAGAAGGAAGCGCTAGCAGGTATTAAAGAACTAATTTTGGGCTGGGCATGCTGATAATCCCAGCATTTGGGAGGCCGAGGCAGAAGGATCACCATTTCGAAGCCAGCCTGGGCTACATAGAGACCCTGTCTCAAAACAAAACAAAAGAAATCAAAATAACAACCCTGATTCTGATTTTGTAGGATATGATTATGTTAAATGGGGTTTTTGTTTTTTTTTTTAAAGGTAAGAAAGTCATTTCAGCACTTCAACATGGCCTGTACAGCTGCTGTTAAATCTGAATTGTGGACTGGACCATTATTTTACAAGCTGATCAAGCTGGGTTAGAGTTTGCTGGGTGAAAACAGTTCTTACCATTAGACACTTTGAAACAGATCAGTTGGCCAATCATTAAAATTTATGGAGAAGAACAAAATTCAATAGCAAGTTCTGACCCACAGGTAATGAAATCCTTATTTGAGCAGCTTGAAAATAAGATTTATGATGAGTGCAGTTATCTTCAGAACTAGAAAGTTTATTTAATGTGAAAATTTTATATATAGACAAGAAAGTTTAATTAAACAATTTGTGTTGCTGGGGTTCCAACCTGGGCCTTGCACATGCTAGGCGAGGGCTCTGCCCCTCAGCTATGTTCCTAGCCCTTAGTGAGAGAAAAATGGAACCAGGTGAAGGTTAGGTTTACAAACAACAACTACAAAAGAATAATGCCAGAGGGAGCACTTCACTCAACTGGAAGATCTAACAGGGACAGCGAGACAGAGTGTGTCACTCACTTCCCTGCGGAAAACCAGCTCAGGAGCTTGGAAGCTCACAGTATGTATTTCAGGTGTTGGGTTTGGTTCAAGGTAGGATGAAAAGAATTATTTTATTTAGTAGGAAGTGCTTATTTTTAGCTGAATTTTCTATCTTGTGGCTGTGATGACTGAGTGACTGTCACTGGAAGACATCTGGGTTTTTGTATCAAGGCCAGACTTGGCTATTACATTAACAAGAAAATTAAAACTTACTGTTGCAGGAGCTGGGGTGGGAGGTGGGGCATAAGATGGTCTTTCTGTTTGAAAGAAAATAAATAACTTCTTGTAAACAACTGAGATATAATACTATGCAACAAAACTACCAATGGTCCTGTTTTGAAGAAAAAAAAATGAGAGTATTTTGGAATTCCCATTTGCTAGGGCATTAGTCTCGTATTAACACAGATTGATAAATATAAAAATTGAAACTTACTTGACATTTTGGAAGATTAAGTTCTCAGTTCCTTAAGAATGAATCTGAGACACTAAAATAAAAAAAAAGAAAAAAAAGAAAAAAAAAGAGAATCAAAACTCAGCAAGCATAAGAGAATGTTTTCCTAAAGAATAGGGTAGTTTGATTGGTATTTCTGAGCAAAATTACTTCACTGTTAATTGCTAGTAATCAAGCCTTTTGCATATTTTTAACTAGTTCTTATAGTCATTTGACTGATCAGAATTAAATGATGAAAATAAGTTACTGGGAAATTTAGAGTTATATTAGAGATGGATTTTAAGTTTTTGCTTATGATATTGAGCCACGTCTTGTATGGAAAACATTTTGCTGATGCCATGCAAACGTTTACTTAGACTGGTAAAAAAAAATAATGACAATAGAATGGGATGTATTATCAGGGTGACCCCAACAAGGCCTACCAGATACTGACAAATCCCTGATCAGCAGCTCTGTTTTCTTTAGGGGACATCTTTTATTAAACAGAGCAATGTCTTATTCCTGGAAGCAGTGTAAAAGGTAATTTGGTATGGTACCGAACTTTATACTTTCTTTTATTGGTAAATAGTTTCATAAGTGCTGGAACCAATTTTCAGAGTCTACTTGGAGGACTCTTATTGGTCCTTTACAGCCCATTTCAAAAAATATTTCAGGTACTTTCTTGATAAATTATCTGGGCAAAATAACTGCATCTCCTCTGTATCCCTATCTGGTTACAAAGATCAACAGCATTTTCCCTTACACAACATGCCAATATGGCTAGGTTTTGTCTTGAAAGAGAGGAGGGATGGTCTAATTTATTACTGTACTGCTCAAACCTAGCTCAATTCTTCATAAACCTGGTCCTAGTAGGACCAGCTCACAACATGGACAGATGTGAGCTCACTCCTTACTCAACACACACCACAAATGGTAATGTATAAAGAGATGAAAAATTATTTTCAGAAAGAAGGTAAGTAAAACTGTGACTACTGGAGTATTTTCATCCAAAACTATGTAAAACAAACACCTTTTTTCTTCTAGTTTTCATTTTCAGGAAATGCCTCACCTCATCAGGGTAAGAGTTCTGATGTGGAAACACCTTAGTTTTTTCAACCCAGGCCTCTTTTTTCCCCTTCCATCAACACCCAGTAGGCCTTGCTGTGGGGAGCCCCGACAGAAACTCTAACAAGGTCCCTGGTACCTTACACTTCACTGCTAATACTGTCAAATGATGGCTCTCCTGTGCTAAGAATATAAGCCCTGAAGAGTGGACCTAACCCCAGTGCCTGGCAGGGAACTCAGTGTCTGTTGAATAATTACCTTACAAGGTAGGCTTATTACACTGCCTGGCTCACTAATCACAACGACCCGACCAGATACATGCGGCTGTTCCGGTTTTACACAAGAGGAAACAGTCTCAGGGCGATTAAGATATAAAGTGTTTAAAGCCACAGGCCCAGAACTGCCAGAGGTGGGTTTAAACCCAACCCACACCGTCTCAGAGTTCACTCCTCACTCCAGGCCACCCCGGGAGTCTTTAGGTCGCTGCCTGAACCCCAAAGGGAACCATCTTCCGGGTGGGTGAGGACCCCCCGCTGGCCTTGCCCGGAGGGCTTCCCGAGGTCCTCTCTGTAAGTTTGTGGCGGAGGGTGAGCTTTTCTGGCAACTCCCCCGCAGGGGGGTGTGCATCGGTGCTCGGCCAGCGTCGGGGGTCCAGCGTAAAGGGACAAGCGGCGCCTCGGAGGAGCTGTCCCAGATGGGGCTTTCTGGCGATCCTGCCGCCGCGAGGCCTCACCGAGGCCGCACCGGCCCGAGTTCCCGCCTCGGAGCTGAGCTGGATCCCCAGCACCCCGCGGGAACTCGGGGTCCCGCCAAACCGAAACACCACAGCTCGCCATCCTCCCCAACCGGGTCGGGCCCACTCGAAAACACTCACCCGCGGGCCGAAAAGGCGCCCGCAGCTCCGGCTTCGCTTCCCTTTGTCCCGCGCTCGCCCCGCCCCTCGCGCCGGAGCTTCCGCGCTCGCACTTTCCACACGCTCCGGGATTTCTCCGCGAGCCGCGGCCGGCTCTCCTCAGACGAACAGCCCTTCCAGCGAGGACGCGGAGAGGCTTAGTGCAGCCAAGGATTTTTTTTTTTCCCCCCCGGGCTCCACAGTTTTTCTCAGAAGTCTTCCAGTTTGGATCCTGTCCCAGCCGGGCGCCGATTCGTCACGGCGAGGAGGGCGGAGAAGGCCGGGCCGCGTTGCGGGCCCCGGTTCGCGGCTCGCGGCCGGGCGGCAGGAACTGCGCTGGGAGCGCGGCGGGGATTCACCCAGGCGGTGGGTGCCGCCGTGTGAGACCCGCGCCGGGCGACGGCACGCCGGAGCCTCTCCCGGGAGAGGGCGGGACGCAGCTCCCGCACCCCCCGCACCCGGGCGCTTCCCTTCGCTGTGGTCCTCAGCACGCCGCTGCAGGATGCAGGATGCAGGATGGAGGCGGGGAGGACTCGGGTCCCCGCGTTTAGGTCCTTGCCAGCGCCCAGCAGGGTTCCCTGCCTCAACAGCCTCAGCGAAAAGCAACACGGGAGTTTTTTGTAGTTTTCTGGAGGCTGAGTGATGGCGACGGGTTTCTGAGCCTAGATGTCAGCTCACTCTTACCAGGTCCTATACCTGTGGCAATTTACATTTCTTTCCAGGAGAACCAATTCAGTTTAGCCTCGCCTGTCTTCAAATAGCCAGCTCAACTGTTTCTTTGTGATGCCCTCCTGGAACTTTTCCTTGGCCACTCTTTTCTTTGGCTCTCTGTAGTCCTGTGTCTTGATACCCTCTGTATGGGACTGGGCCATCTGTAATCTTGGAAAGTCTGAACAAAGGTTCAGACATCTGGACCGGACAATTTCATAATTACCAGTGGGTTTGTTTGTTTTTTGGTTTTTCGAGACAGGGTTTCTCTGTGAAACAGTCCTGGCTGTCCTGGAACTCACTCTGTAGACCCGGCTGGCCTCGAACTCACAGAGCTCCACCTGCCTCTGCCTCCCGAGTGCTGGATTAAAGGCGCCACCATCGCCTCGCAATTCTTACCAGTGTTTTCTAAGAGCTAGTCTTGTAATTAGGTATTCAGTAAGTGTGTGTTGTGGGGGCCCAAAACAGCTTCACCACACAGCTTCTGTGACAGGCTTACTGGCAGGCAACACCCAGACCCAGGAAAAGCCATAAACTGACCCCACCCAGGGAGGCCCCACATCCAAGAAGTACCTGACATCCTAAACATTCCAACCATTAGATAAGGTTAGATAGATAAGATGGCCAGAGGTCCCGAGTCTAGCGCACACCTATTTCTGTTCTACAGATACCGCTAGACAAATGTCGGCCAATCAGGGTCCTGAACCCTGGAAATAGCCTCATCCCAGCCTCTGCTCTGAAGAAAACTACCCCGCCTGAGCTCAGTCAGGGCTCTCTGCTCTCACCGCTGCATTGGACAGACAGACAGACAGACCAAGCTTGGAGCTTGAAAATAAGGGCTCTTTGCTTTTACATGTGAGATTCAGTCTCCGTGGTGGTCTTTTGGGGGGTCCCCGAGATCTAGGCATAACATGCGTAGAGGCATCTTTCTGGACCATTCCAAGGCTTGTTTTATTAATTCCAAGTACTTTGGCGGACCATATGAAGTATAGAGACACCTGGCTAATGTGGGTCACGGTGGAGGAAAAGTGAAGAGATGACCTGTGTTTATCTAAGGACACTGTTGGCATTTAGAGAAACTGGTTGAATTCTGGGGCCTCCTGTTGGCCCATATCCTGGTTGTGACAACAGGAAGTGGGATATCTTTAGAAGTCTGCAGAGCCAGGGATAAGTGATAACACTGTCCAGTTCTTCTATCGCCCAACATTTTCATACTCATGAGTAGAAATAACGGAGTGGAAGGGCACATTGAAAGGAAAGACCAAAGGAGAGTTTGTCGGATGAATGGGCAGCATGAGGGAATGTATCCCGAACTGGATTTTAACACAAAAGGCATAGAAAGGGTGAATGTGGGATCCACAGAGCCACAGCAGGGATCCCAGAACCCTCTTTCTCTGGCTGAGCCTCTTAATCTGGCCTGCTCAGCAACTCCAGCCTTGTTTCTTCCCTGCCTTAGCAACTGTGGGATGGAGTGGTGGAAAAGGAGGTGGGGGGGGGGGCACTGTGCTGCTGCTGTGTGTGTGTGTGTGTGTGTGTGTGTGTGTGTGTGTGTGTATCACATAACTATATGGACACAACCTGTTCAGGCCATTTCGTTTTCCTATTATATGATTTCAGAGCTGACCATTTGGGATTGGATAACCACTTAAGGGGGTTCATCCCTGGGGAGGACTTTCTCCTGCTGTCAGTGTTCCTACAGGTTGCCTGATGTTCATTGTCTAGGGGGTGGGGATATTTGATATTTTGAACACAATGAATGATATATTTAGATGCTTATTAAATCTGTGAAATTAATGGATGATGATCTCATCCTCCTTTGGTTCTTCCTCTATTCCTTAAGATTTCAAAAACGTATAGAGGGGGCTGTCAAGGTGGCTTAGCTGGTAAAGGCGCCTGCTTCGTAGCTTGATGACCTGAGTTCGAGCCTTGGGAGCCACCCAGATGGAAGGAGAGAACCAACCCCTACAAGTTGTCCTCTGACCTCCACATGCTCCGGGTGATCCACATGCAGACAGAATAAGTAAATGTAGTAACTTATCACATGCATACAGTCGGTACAAAATCAAAATTTTAAATAAATAAGTTATTTTTAAACCTTTGCATAAAAATCGTTTCTTTTTCTTTAGCCATCACTGGTACTTCAAAGACTGCCATGACAGAACAGCACAAGTTTTGTCATTGACCAGGAAGGAGTAATTTTTCCTGAACTAATTGAATTGAAAATAGCTTTTGCGCTTTGAACTTTTGCTTAGTCATCGTCAGTTATAATTTCCCTCACAAGTTCTTCACTTCCAGAGACAGTTTTCATTGAAGTAGAATTGTACATTTGAGTAGGCCTTGCCAGATGTTTCAGTGTGCATATTATTTCAAGCAACCGCGAGGCAGCGGGGGAGGCAGAAATTAGAAGTGAGCATCGCCTTCTCTTTGTCTTCAAGTGTGAACTTGAGGCCTTGGAGACAGAGCGATCCCTCCTCTCACATGGCTGATTAAAGGCAGAGCTGCGGCTAGGAGCCTACAGTTGTTAGTAACTGGAATTACTCTTTATTTTGCCTTCCAAGTGCTGGGATTACAAGTGAATGTGGTTTTTTCCCCTTCCTCAAGTGAGCTAGCTTTGTTTGACTTATCCATATATAGACATCTTTGAAATAAGAGAGCTCAAATACAAGGCAGCCTTAAGGGTCATGTGTGGTGATATTTTGTTGTATTCTAATAAAATTTGCCTGAAGATCAGAGGACAGAGCCAGCCACTAGATTAAACATAGAGGTCAGGCGGTGGTGGCACACAGAGAGGTGGAGATCTGTCTGGATCTCTGTGAGTTCAAAGCCACCCTGGACTACAGGAGATTAATCCAGTCTAAAAGAAACAGAGCCAGGCAATGGTGGCACACACCTTTAATCCCAGCACTTGAGATCTCATGCCTTTGCTACCAGTATTTGGGAAGCACACACGCCATTAATCCCAGGAGTAGGAAGGTTGAGACAGTAAGTGATATGGCTGGGTGGAGAAAGGCATGTAAGTGTGAGGAGACAGGAACTGAGGCCCTTTCAGCTGAGGACTCAGGGGCATTCAGTCAGAGGATTCTTGAAGTTGGTGATGTGAGAACAGGCTGTGGCTTGTTCCTTTGATTTTTCAGCATTTACTCCAGTATCTGGCTCTGTTTTTTTTTTTTTTATTGTAAGACCATTTAGAATTCGTGCAACAGTCATGTTTCAATTTTTTTTATTATAGCGGTATCATTTACTTTGGTAAATTCATATTCCGATTTTAAAATGCTTTGAAGCAAACAAAAATCATTTACAAATTCAAGTACTGCATATTATACACACATGATAGCTGCATAGTGGAATTTCTTTAGCAAGCTGTTAATTCACAATGCCCAGTACTAACAAACAGTACTGCAGTAGATTACCCTAGATGTATCGCTTTACCATAATCATTGTTGATAGAACAGTAACCAGTACAATAGCTTACATGATTGCATTTCAAAGCTTTAATAAAGTTGTAGCATTTAATGAAGAATGAAACTTTTCCCTTTTTTTCCTGAGGTCCAAACCCAGGGCCTCCTGTGTGCTAGGTGAAGCTCTGGCCTCCAGCCCCTCAAGAACCATTTTTATGTATAGGATGCAAGTTTGGGACAGATGCTTATGCAAGAATAAGCACTTAATATGCTGCTGTATCCTTGACAGAACAGCATCATTCCTTTTCACTAAATAGAGTGAGTCAGGCTAAAAGGAACCTGAGGTAATAGAAAGAAAAAGGCAAATGTTAAAATCCCTGTATTATATTAAAAGTTACTAAACATAATTTCCTTGTGGCTAAAGCATATTTACTGGTCAACATACATACATACATCATACATACATATGCAGATACACACACATGTGGAGAGAGGACGGGGAGGGAGGGGTTGATTTTTGAAGGCTGCGCTAATGCTAACATAGCTATAGCCCTTATGATATCTCAGCTGGAAACAAAGAACAGTGGTTTGTACTCCTTTTTGTTGTTGGTTAGAAAAAAAAAGCTTATAACCACCTAGTGTCTTAAAACAGGTATTTATTATTTAAGGTCTCAAATATACCTGCATTAAACAAATTACGTTGTTTTTAAAAATGTTGCAACACCTTGTCATCTATTCACAAATATATTTTACGTCTGCATTTATTACAGTTTGAACATTTTTAAAGCAAGTCCTGTAGACAACTCTTAGCTCAGCTAGCAATACTATGCTGTTGGTTCACATAAATGACTGCAGGAACTCTTTCTCCCAGTTCATGGAGGACCTTCTCTAAGGCCCAGAGCAAACGCCACTCACACTTCATTTTACAGATGGAAGAGTTCAGATGGTGCGCAACTGGGTAACTGTCCTAGTAACTAGAGTAATCACATTTTCCATTTGCTTTTAAAGTTTTGTTTGTACAGCTCTGTGTGTGTGTGTGTGTGTGTGTGTGTGTGTGTCTGTGTGTGTGTGTGTGTGTGTGTGTAAGGATACAACTTTTACAGTTCTTTCAACAAAGTGATTCTCCTGCAAATCAGATTCTTATTCTAAAAGAACTGTAAGATATAGGGCACCCCAATTTTATTAATCATCAAAATAGCCTTGAGGTGTACTCAGTACTTCAGAATTGCTCACAGACAGACCACTTCTTAATTTTCTTAATTCCCAGAGTTCAAATGATTGTCTCAAATGGAAAAATCCTAAGAGAAGATCGAGACCCCCTCCATAAACATTGGTTCCTAACTGTTGCCTTTTTAGAAGTAGAACAAACATTTTAGGTTCAGCTGGTCCTGAAACCATGGGGAGTAACTCTGTGTAACTCTTCAGTATTCAGACAAGCTATTCCATTTTCCTTAGGATGTTCAGCCATTGAGTTAAATGACAGACTTAACCAAGCCACCTTATACTTCAAGTCTCTGAAAAAGCTCGCCAGGATAAAGACTATTTGGATGACAAACAAAACAGAAATCACACCAAATTTCTGATTTATTTTTAAGCACTCCCCTCTCCAAAAAATATGCTCATCTTTGGAGTCCTAGCAACTTTACCTCTTACTATACATGTTCTCTGAAGAGAGCCACACGCAGCCCACAGCATCTTCACATTATCCATACGTATGGAGTGACTTACATTTGGGACTGGGCGTCAGCATGGCCAGCCTAGGTCCATCCTAGTGTCTCTGATAAATCAAATACTATCTCTGGGTTAGTTGGTTGCTGGTGGGGGCTTGATGGAGGGAATACTACATGATCTTCGCATGATAAGCCTTACTTCGATGTCTGGCAGATTCTCCCGCCTGCTCTGTAAACATCCTTCATCGGTGGCTGCCAAATGGAGGTCAAATCGAAGAGAAACAGACTTTTTCCTCAATCGGGGGTTATCTTTAAAGAATGAACCTTCCCATTCTTTTATAACTTCATCCACTTTCTCTGTCCTGAAATGAGGAAAATAAACTTTTTTATAGAAGAAGAAATAGACACAAAGTATAGTTCATATTTATGAAAAATATGTATATTGTATGCATTGTGGGATTTTTAACACTTTAGATTTGTTTATTTTATTTTATGTGTGTGTTTTGTCTGCATGTATGTATGTGTACCAAGTGGTACATGCCTGGTGCCCACAGAGGTCAGAAGAGGACATCAGATTCCTTGGAACTGGAGTAGTGTAGGGTTGAGAAACACCAGGTGCTCTTTATCACAGTCATCTCTCCATATAACTTTAACAACCATAAGAATATAATCTTTAATATGGATTTCTGTGGAATTTCTACACAATTCTTGTATTTTTATTTTTTTGAGATGGGGTCTTGCTATATAGCCCTAGCGGTCCTGGAACTCACTATGTAGACCAGGCAGGCCTTGAACACACAGAGATCCACCTGCTTCTTCCTCTCCAGTGCTGGGATTCTACACAATTCTTATGTTCTGATTTTAGTTTTAGAAAGAAAGGTGAATTATTTTCATACTCTTATATGTGTTGTTATGTGTGTATACTCGTGTCTGCCTGAGAAATCACAGGATATTGAAAGTATTTGAAATACTTGGAAAAGACTGCTCAGATTTGCTCGACTGAGGTGCATTTCATCATGTTTAGTAGTATTTCATAGTCCAAGCAGTTTTACTTACTGAATGGTGCCGTGAGCCTCCGCACTCTCCTCCACACTTCCATTTAATTCTGGCTGTTTAGTCATTGTCTCCACACTTTCATTCTCATACTTTTGTGAGACTTTCGTTGAAAAAGATATTTCATTTATAATGGCTGTGAAAATGTTACATTAAATCACAACGTTGAAAACGAAAAGGAAAATGAAGTACGTTAGTATGTGTGTAGGGGGGAAATCACAACATTGAAGTCCTGAAAATTCCTTCTCTTGCTGCTTTGGACAAGTTTCTGTATAATCTCCACAAATAACATGACTATTTTCAAATTAGTTTATTGGGTCAGAAACTCACCGGAGGGGAGAAGAAAGCCAACTTTACTCCTGGTAGCAGGTTTTTCTTCTTTTTTCTCGCCTTGGATACAACCATAGTATCTGAAACGGAAAGAGTCATAGAAACAACACTGTAGTAGCAAAACAAAAACAAAAACAAAAACAAAACAAAACAAAATAAAAACAAACAAACAAAAAGAAAACAGACAAGAGAATGGGTAAGTTGTTACATTCACACAATGGGAATACTATTCAGCATTGACAGTGATGAGTGAGGCCATGCAGCGTCTCTGTCAGTGAATCTCCCAGGCACAAGGAAGAGCGGAGGAAAACTAGGAGCTAGCTTTATAAGGGTTAAAACAATACACAGATCAATTTTCTACATTGTATAGATAGGAATCTATATTACCAAAAGAGCTGTGTGAGACTAGTTAAGTATCAATTCGGAGCCAGCCTGGGGGGCGGGGTGTGGGGGCGGGGCGCATGGAGGGCGGGGTTTAGATGACCAGAAAATAAAACATCTTAAACTGGAGCAACTAGGAGTATGTTAACACTAGGATTTCTTTTTTCTTTTCTTTTTTTTTTTTTTTTTAGGTTTTTTTTTCGAGACAGGGTTTCTCTGTGCAGCTTTGCGCCTTTCCTGGATCTCGCTCTCTAGACCAGGCTGGCCTCGAACTCACAAAGATCCGCCTGCCTCTGCCTCCCAAGTGCTGGGATTAAAGGCGTGCACCACCACAGCCCGGCAACACTAGGATTTCAAAGGTCATAGGAATACAATGTATAATACTTAATATCATTGTTCACTATATTTTCTGGGTTTTGTGTAATAACATTGTTCATTTGTATTCTCCTGTATTTATATCTTAAATATAATAATACAAATTTAGAAAACTAGAAAAATATTAAAAACCAATTTGTCAATATCTCAAATGATTAGGAATGAACATCTATGGTCATTATTTAATCAGATATTACATTCACACCATATATAAAGTTATGTATTTTTCACAGAGCACAATGTGCTGGACAGTGCTTTAAGCACTTCACAAGTGTTAATTCATTAGATTCTCACAGTAATCTTGTGATGCAGATAATATTATTCCCATTTTGCTGATGAGAAAACTGAAGCACAGAGAGGTTAAGTAGTTTGTCCAAGGTCACTCAGCTAGTAAGTGGTATATTTTGAATTCAATTTATGATTTTTGAAGGATTTAAGCCAAGGCTTATCACAGGCTAAACTTATTCCATCTGGTTTTGCAGAAGACTCAGAATTCTGAAACAAGCAAGAACAAAGATTTATTGTTATGGGAATATAGAGACGTGGAGGTAATGCCATGCTCAAGGGTCTAAGGCCTTTTAAATGGTTGTAAAATACAATATTGAGTAAGTAAGAATTCCCCCGTTAACACCTTCTTACCTCAGGATACCTGAAGCCTTTTAAATGTGACTCAGAACAGTATTGCTTTCCATACTCGTAACAGAATCACATGATTACTATTTTTCATTTTTTGAGAAGGTCTCTTGTAACTCAAGCTGGCCTCCAACTTGCTGTGGAGCTGAGGATGACCTTGAACTCGCGATCTTCCTGCCTCCACTTCCCAAGTGCTCTGATTACAGGCATGCACGTCTGGATTATGTGATGCTGGGGAACAAACTCAGGGGTTCGTGTATGCTGGGTAAGCCCTCTCCTGGCTGAGCCCCATCCCCTAACTACAGTAGTACTATTTTGGAGTTCACTGTGGGTTGGGGGTGGGGCCTTTGGGCCAAGTTCTGGTGATAATGTGTGAGTCACCAAACTTCTTTGGGGGTGATCTATCAAAGGCAAGGACTAGTCCTAAAAGAGAGAGACAGTGAAGAAAGTGGGAAGGATAGGAAGAGCCTCTTTAGTGAACAAGAGTTGTAACAGCCGACTCTGGTTATGAGCGTGCTGGTTGGAGCCGGCTGGACATAGTTCTTCATGCTCCACGGAGAGTGTGCTAATCCCGCTCTACTATAGGAGCTCAGTGAACAGGCTGTGGTGGTGGCGGGCTTTATTTTTGGATTTGGTTTTTCTGATGGCATCAACAGTGGCTCTGTGCGTGTGGCCCCATGCCACCCTGTGCCATTAGCGATGTGGACTTAGGTACCTGATCTCCTCCTGTTCTAGCAGGCGGCGGTATGTGGCAATTTCCTGCTCCAGCCTCATCTTCGTGTTGAGAAGCATCTCATGTTCCTGAAGCTGCTTCTCGATGCCACCCCTCACTTCCTGCAGCTCCCTCTCTAGTCCGTCAATCACCGACTCCAGATCTTGCAGCTGCATCTGGTAATGCTGCTCACTGGCCTGCAGGGAGTTTTCAAGACCCCTTTCCTGTTGACAGACGTCATCAGCAGTGAACCAGTGACACAGACAGGCTTCTGAAGTCTCATAGTCACCTGTTCCATTCTGTCTGTCTATCTATCTATCTATCTATCTATCTATCTATCTATCTATCTATCTATTTATTATCTATCTATCTATCTATCTATCTATCTATCTATCTATCTTTGTTTTGTTTTGTTTTGTTTTTGGCATTAGCAATCAAAGCCAGGGCCTTGAACAGGATAGGCTCTGAGTCACACTGTAGCCCCACTTTTTTTTTTTTTTTTAATTTAAATATTATAAGAGTTGTGCTTCACTTACACAAGAGGACCTTTTCCTTTTGCTATGTGAAATTTTTTTAACATTTATTCTGTGTATGTGAATGTGTGCATGTAGAAGTCAGAGGACAGCTTTCAGGAATTGTTTTTCTTGTTCCATCATGTGAGTTTGGGAGATCACACTCAGGGTGTCAGGCTTTTCGGCAGGCACCTTTACCTGCTGAGCCATCTTACTGGCCCCCTTTCTGCTGTTTGAGACAAGGTCTCATGATGTAGCCCAGGCTGGCCTTGGACTTGGCATTACGGGTATGTGTAACCAGGCTTAGTTAATTCTGCAGTCAATCTGACCTTGAGCTAATGGCAATCCTTCTTTCTCGGCCTCCGAAATGCTGGGATTATAGCCATGAACCACTGTGCCTGGCTTCCATAAGAAAATTATGTTTAGTGGCTGAGCAAGATGACACTCACTTGTAATCATAGCTACTCAGAAAGTGGAGGCAGGAGGGACACCAGTTCAAGGCCCACTTGGGCAACTTTGTGAGACGCTGTCTCAACAACAACAAAATGACAAGAAGAAGAAGAAGCAGGGCTAAGGATGAGGCTCCACAGCAAAGCACTTGTTCACCATGCACAGGCCCGGGTTTAATCTCCAGTACTGGATATTTAAAAAAATATATGTAACTAGGTAGCTTTCTGTATTTCAAAATAATGTTGTAATCACTCCTTTAGCAAGAAAAAAAGAAGTCCTTTACATTGTGATTAACGTACTGTCATCCTGAATTACTTGATTTTTTAAAAATATTGAAAATAAGCCGGGCGGTGGTGGCGCACGCCTTTAATCCCAGCACTCGGGAGGCAGAGCCAGGTGGATCTCTGTGAGTTCGAGGCCAGCCTGGACTACCAAGTGAGTTCCAGGAAAGGCGCAAAGCTACACAGAGAAACCCTGTCTCGAAAAACCAAAAAAAAAAAAAAAATATTGAAAATATAATGACTCTCAAAGGTGAAACAGACTACTTACAAAAGGCATGTCAGGGGCCGATGAGATGGCTCAGTGGATAAAGGCATTGCTCAGCCCGAGTTCAATCCCCTGGTCCCACACGGTGGAGGGGATAACTGCCTCACAAAAATCGTCCTCTGACTTTCCCACGTGCACACACTAAACCAACCAACCAACCAACCAACACAAACAGAACTTTAAAAAGGCCTATCAGGAAAGTGCGTAACTATTTTCCCATTAGAAATCTCAATGGCAGGAATGCTGTTAGAACATTATAGACAATAACAACACACAATCCATTTTCTCATATCAACATTCAGGGAGCCCCAGAGCCAGGAGCAAGTGCAACTGAATTTCTCTAGATGTAAACTGAACCTCCAAGGAGCGGATTACAGCCACTGGGTGGGAAAGAGCGAGGATCGCGGCCAGCATTCAGTGGCCTCCACCGTTCAGTGGCCTCCACCGTTCAGTGGCCTCCACCGTTCAGTGGCCTCCACCGTTCAGTGGCCTCCACTGTTCAGTGGCCTCCACCGTTCAGTGGCCTCCACCCTAGAGCGATGGAGTCTTATTTTTCCTCCCTCTGTTCTACATGCTGGGCAGATGCTCTGCCAGCAAGCTGCCTTCCCCAGCCCCCTCCTCCCCTAAATCACGTAGCCTCTGGGGTGCGATGAGCCAGTGTCTTGGGGTCTTCCTTACCACAGCGTGGAGAGTCTCAATTTCCACTTGCAGGTGGTGGCACTGGCGGCGGGCCTCCTTGAGTTCCGCCTGAGCTGCCTTCAGAGCCTCCCCATCCTTGTCCATTTTTTTGGTTATATCTTCCTCTAGCTGTAAGAAAGTCAACAATAACAACAGCAAACAACAACAAAACAACAAAACCAAAAAACCCAAACCAACAACAACAACAAAACAAGACAACCAAAGGGCATGATTGAAAAGGAGGTGTTTACACAATTATGTAGGAATCAAATCATGTCTTCTTTTCACTATTAGATTACAAGAGTGTGTTCCGGTGCTTCATTACTAATCAATCAAATACTTGAACCAGCCAATTATGCTCTCAGCCCCAATCTTCTCTGCTATCAAATGATCTCAAAAGTTCCTTTCTGACTATAGCAGCCCATGAAGATACAGAGGAGGGGCTGGAGAGATGGCTCAGAGGTTAAGAGCACCGGCTGCTCTTCCAGAGGCCCTGAGTTCAATTCCCAGCAACCACATGGTGGCTCACAGCCATCGGTAATGAGATCTGGTGCCCTCTTCTTACCTGCAGGCATACATGCAGGCAGAATACTGTATATATAATAAATAAATGAATCTTAAAAAAAAGAAAATACAGAGGAACATATCTATTTTAATGAAGAGGAAGTTTTCGAGACAAATTTGTGACCTCTGATTTTTCACATTCCCCTATGTGTCGATAAGGAAGATCAATTGAAATTCAGTGATTATTTTCCAACATTTGTTTTTGTAGGCTGCTTCAGAGAGGCAGATATACACAGCTGTACATCCAAAAAGGGGTCAATTCTGGATGTGTGGACTGGGAGCTAGACACCATTAGAAAACATATTACTATGCTAGCAAATTGGAAAATTAAGTTGTCACAGGCTCCAAGGTTCTTAAATAAAGTTCTATGTTGAGGAAACCTTTTTACTTTTTTCAAAATGATCTTTTTAGAGGCATCTTCAGTTTGGATATTTGGGGTAGTAATGAAAAAGATACTGTGAATGTGTGTGGTGTGTGTGTGTGTGTGTGTGTGTATGTGTACTATGTAGGTGTATGTTTGTGAAAAAAATATATATGCTAGAATGTAGTTCCTCAGGAGCCACCCACTTTTTCTTTTCTTAATTTTTTTTTTTTTTTTTTTTTTTTTTTTTTTTTTTGCCGAGTGGTGGTGGCGCACACCTGTAATCCCAGCACTCGGGAGGCAAAGGCAGGTGGATCTGTGAGTTTGAGGCCAGCCTGGTCTACAGAGCTAGTCCAGGATAGGCTCCAAAGCTACCGAGAAACCCTGTCTCGAGAAACAAAAACAGGAAAAACAAACAAACAAACAAACAAACAAACAAACAAAAAACCAAAGCACCTTTTTTTTTGAGACATCGTTTCTCACTGGGACCCAGGCTTGCTGATTAGGCTAGCATGGCTGGCCAGTGAGCTCCAGGGATCTATTTACCTATCTCCAGATCTTATTGCTGGGATCACAATTGCACACCACCATGTTTCACTTTTATATTGTGGGTCCTGCAGATCAAAATCAGGTCCTCATACTTCCACAGTAAAACTAGCTGAGCTATCCTCCAAGTCCCAGAAATGACATCTTAAAGATTATTTTCTAAATTGTCTCCTCTTATAAAAACAAGTAGGGGCCGGGCGGTGGTGGCTCACGCCTTTAATCCCAGCACTCGGGAGGCAGAGCCAGGTGGATCTCTGTGAGTTCGAGGCCAGCCTGGACTACCAAGTGAGTTCCAGGCGCAAAGCTACACAGAGAAACCCTGTCTCGAAAAACCAAAATAAATAAATAAATAAATAAAAACAAGTAGGGGGGCCGGGCGGTGGTGGCGCACGCCTTTAATCCCAGCACTCGGGAGGCAGAGCCAGGCGGATCTCTGCGAGTTCGAGGCCAGCCTGGGCTACCAAGTGAGTCCCAGGAAAGGCGCAAAGCTACACAGAGAAACCCTGTCTCGAAAAACCAAAAAAAAAAAAAAAAAAAAAAAAAAAAAAAAAAAAAAACAAGTAGGGGAAGACGTGAAGCTCAGTGGTAGAATGCCTGCCTGGTAAGCACAGGGGGGAAACTGGGGTATTTTCTGTTTTGCTTGAAATGTTTTCATGCTGATGGAATTAAAAGAAAACACCAGTTAACAGCATTATCAACATTTGACCTCATTAGGAGCAGTGTATTGAGTTGATTTGAAGTAAAAAAAAAATGACAACTTTTTAATGTTCTTTTAAATCTGTAAATTTGGTTATATGGTAGATTTTGTTTAAAGGAAGCCAGAGTTGATAAAAGTCTGTGAATAAAGTTTAGGGCAAGATATTAGAGAAAAGGGCTGGAGATTTGGCTCAGTAACTAATTGCTTATGACACAGCCTACAGGCAGGAGTTCCAATCCTTAGAACCTCTGTAAATGCTGGGTAAGTTTGGAAGCTTGCCTGTAATTCCAGCCTGGGAAGATGGGACAGGAAGTCTCAAGTCTGGACATGTCAGTGAGCTCTGGATTTGACGGAGAGACCTTGCCTCAACTGACAAAGTGTAAGAGTGATGGAGGACAATGTTTGAGATCAACTGTGCTTCCCTACCAGCATATGGCCCAACATGCATGTGAATCTTGCACAGTTCACCCATACACATGCAAACACGCACACACACATATACATAAACATACAATACCCCCCATCCCCCCCCCCCCCCCCCCCCGCACGCGCTTTGAAAAATGGAAAAAGAAAGATGTTAGAGGCAAATTTTTCCTCCTTTCTTTTGTCAGCTTATCACGTGTTTAGTGTTAACTTGGCAAAGTCAAGCAACCAACATCTACGGGAGCAACTATAAAAAAGAATGAGGAGACTTTTGGAAACAATGTAAGACTATGGGGACCACTGGTCTTTTGAATTCCCAGTGAGCAACTGGCAGGTAAACTGTGTGGTAGCTAGATTCCCAAGGTGGTTCCCAGTGAACTACCCCTCCCCAAGTTCATGTCCTGAGTCTTGCTGTCATCAGCTGGATATGGTAGAGCCGATGCTGCGTCCATTCTAGGCTATGCCTTAAGAAGCCTGCTAGCTTCCACATTGTTTTTGGAAAGCCCTGGGTCATCATCGTAGAAGAAATCTGGATACCTGGTTAGAGAAGGCTGTGTAGGAAGGCTAGGTGGAGAGGGACCTGAGGTCCATGGAGAGGGAAACAGGCTCAGGTGTCTCAAGGCAGCCTTTTGGCAATCTACTGCCAAGGTCCCAAACACATTAGCCAGTCACTTGGAGCATGCCAGCCAATAGGGCCCTGAGGTGACTGCATCCTATTCAGCATCTCGCGTAGCACCAGAGTCCCCATATCCCAACATCCTCATCCCACAGAATCACAAGACAGAATACAATAGCCTACACTTTAGCCCACTGAGTTTTGGGGGCGACTTTTTATGCAGCGATTGCTAGCTACAGCAACTATATGCTTATTTTATTTGGCTTATTTACCTGTTTGGTGCTAGGGTTTAAACCCAGGGCTTTGCAGTATGTTGTGATAATAAAGTAAATTGACTTTGTGAATTACTTGGAAAAAAACATTTCTCTCAAGAACCTTTATATTATAAAATGTTGCAAACAGATCTTACGAGAGTTTTGCTTTTTTATTCAAAGTCACTCAGTTCAGCATTGGGGCTTGTACACTAAACTTAGATTCCTACTTTGTAAAATAAAGTATTCACTTGGTATATAATTTTCAAAAGTTGTCCTCTCTTAATATTTTCCCCTATCATATGAAGGTGAACAAACTTTTCCAACATCTAAACCAACAGCCTAGTGACCTTATTTAATCTAGGGAACTGATCATTCTTTTTGAAAACTTAAGATGCTACCCACAAGCAAAATTTATAATGATGTTCCAGTAGATTGCTAATGGAACGAAGTCCTGTGATTTCTCGATAACAGTTTTTGTATGGAATTTGAATTGAGCCTTGGTCTGAGTTGGCTCTGTTTCATTTATTTATTTTAAATGCCTTGCAAGCTTTGTGTCAGAAGTACACGGTTCTCATAGTTCAAATGCAAAAATGGGTACTTCTTCTAAGTGTATAGTCCCTACCCAGCTGGGGGATTTTGATTGTCAGAATTTGTATCCTTGACTCTGAAAGCCAGGTTCACACACTCAGATGATTCTATTTATAGCCATCAGTATAAAGCTGAATGCATGGAAAAGATGATAGAAACCTTTAAAAATATATTTTAGTTGCTTTTATCTTCTCAGAATGTGCAGGCAAACAATCTTGACTATCAAGCTCTCATTCTACAGATGTTATTTAAATCACTTCTATAATTAACTCCATAATATCTTTGAAGAGTGTTTGGAATGCGTCTTTCCTGAAAAATCTAAAGAGGTCAGAGTGCACCATTTTATTATTTGTTGACTCCATGTTTTAGTAATGACGGTCACCTTATGATCTATATAAAATTTCAATTCATCGATCAATATTTATTGAATGGCCATTCAGCAGCACAGCCACAGGGTTTATCCCTGTCTGTCACCCCAGACCCAGTGCAGAAACACCTACATTGCCTCCCCAGTAGATGCTGCGTGGAAAAGAAAATACTGTACCTCAGAGAGGCCGGGACAGGAATCGGGTAGACATGGACTGTCTCCTTATCCTGAAGGTGCCTGGCTGAATGAAATCATTACCTGCATCCGTGTTGACAGCACCGTCTCTATCTGATTTCTGGTGAGAAGCTGTTCATAGTTTGCCCTGATCTCATTGAGGAGCTGGGACAGCTCCATTCTTTTCCCATCCTCCACCTTGGCTAACTGGACCTTAGCGACAGGATGAGTCCGCTGCTGCTGCGGCAGAGCCAGCCCTGCCTGCGTCGCCAGAGCAGACAGCCCCGCGGAGCCTTAAAGATGCAGAGATCCATTTCCCCATCAGAAGCGGGCGAAACTCCTGGGTTGCTAATCAGTCACGCAAATGTGAGAAACTGTTCGCGCCCACTGTCGTTGGTACAGCAGAAACCTCAGAATCTCCAGGGAAGAGAAGAAAACGACACCCTCAGGTCACTGCAGTGATCCCCTACACAAGGGAATGCTTTGCCTGTGGGGGGCGGGGCGTTCAATTGTTTTGCGGTAGGGAATGGGTCACGACTTTAAGAAAACTGTCGTTAGCCAGGTATGGAGGGCAGTCAGGTTTGTTATCTCAGCACTCGGTCAGAAAGATCTTGGATTTAAGGCCAGTGAGGACTTCAAAGCGAGACTGTCTTGGGAAGGGGTGGGAGAGCAAAACAAAAAAAAAAAACAACAAAAATCCAACCAAACCACCACAAAAAAACCCCAAATAAAACACACAACATTTTACTGTGTGTAGATATTGTGTGGGCATTAAATTGGGCTCCAGATATGATAGTTTAAATTCCATACATACACACACACTATATATATATATATATATATATAAATATAAATCTATATATATATAAATATATATATATATAAATCTATCTCACCATTTCGATTTTTTTTTTTTAACAAAATGCTAAAGGAGAGGGGCAGCAGAGGAAAACAGCGGAGAGGAACACAGGTGATAAGAAACAGACTGGAGACTGTTCCCAGGGAGGAAGGGATGCAGCAGAGGTACTGGTAAGGTTATGGGCAATGGTGAAGGGCGATGCTGGAGGGGGTTGAATACAAAGGACAATGACAGGTATGGACGAAAATGCTGTAGTGGGGCCTCTAACTTTGACTGCTAACTTAAAAAAATTAATAAAAAAACCCAAAAGCCAAATGCTATGGTAAGTCATCTGCCCAAGAGCAGAGTGCGATGGATTGAAGTGAACTCCGTAAGTCACTCATGTTACAGACGAAGAACCTGGAGGTGGGCACTAGAGTGTGGTGATATTTTATATATGCTCTAACAAATAAAGCTTGTCTGAAGATGAGATGGCAGAGCCAGCCACAGTTAGCCACAGAGGCCAGGCAGTGGTGGCACACACCTTTAATCCTAACACTGGGAGGCAGAGACCGACAGATCTCTATGAGTTCAAAGCCACCCTGGACTACACCAGATTAATCCAGTCTAGAAGAGAAACAGAGCCAGGTGGTGATGACTCACGCATTTAATCCCAGTACTTGGGAGTCACACACCTTGAATCCCAGCACTAGGAAGGTTGAGACAAGAAGTGATAATGGCTGGGCAGAGAAAGGAATATAAGGCGGGAGGAGACAGGAGTTTGCCTCACCTCCCCTTTCGGTTGAGGACTCATGGGCATTCAGTCTGTGGATTTGTGGAGACAGGATCTTCCCCTTTTGGCTGAGGAGTTGGTGAGGTGAGAAGTGGCAGTGGCTTATTTTCTCTGATCTTTCAGCATTTACCCCAATATGTGGTTCCCAGGTTTTTATTATAAGACCAATAAGGATTCGTGCAACACTTGAGCAGTGAGTTAACACTGCCAATTTTGTGAAAATTGGGCCCTTTGGCCCCTGTAGTGGGGCATCCGCTGAGGGAGACGGTTCTGTTGCCAGTAAACATACAGAGAACAACACCGCACTCTTACAGACATGTCTTCAGCTCTTCCGACAACACTGTTCTACCCAGTCTTTTCAGGTCCTGACATTCTGTGACCTGTAAAGATGGAAGGACCATGGTCAGAGGAGACAAGTGTCCTACCCAAGGCGGCTCATTAAAGTGACAGCATCACTAAGACAGCGAACTTGCCTGCATGCTGCATGCCATGTCTGCTTCTTCATTCTCTCCTCCCCTGGATTCCTGTTCAAGACCGCAACCATGTTAGGTGCAACTGATAACGGTTTTTTGAGAATGGGCCTCTTGTTGTTTACAGAGTGAATGAATTTGATCTTGGTTCTAGAACCCACAGGGCCTTTGATATGCCTCTTGTTTAAAAAAAAAAAAGTGTGTGTGTGTGTGTGTGTGTGTGTGTGCGTGCGTGCGTGCGTGCATGCGTGTGTGTGTGTGTGTGTGTGTGTGTGTGTGTGTGTGTGTGTGTGTGTGGCTTGCCATAGGCACAGGTGTGAAGGTCAGAGGACAACTTTCTGGAATAGTCTCTCTTCTTCCGTATCGCAATTCTAGGGGTTGAACTCACGTCGTCAGACTTGATGGCCAGCGTCTCTACCAGCTGACCCATCTTGTGGGCCCACCTCTAGCTCTTCTAAATTTCTGAGTTAACTTACTTCTAATGAAGTATGTTTTTTTATTTATGTGTGTGCGTGTATACGTGTCTGTGTATGTGTCTGTGTGAGTGGATGGATACCTGTGTATTTAGTTAGGTACCTGAGGAGACCAGAAGAGGGCACTGGATCCTTGCATTGGAGTTATTGGTGTTAGCGAACGACCCGACATGGGTACTGGGACCTGAAGTATGTGCCAGCTGTTCCCAAAGACCCCTCCACGCAAAGCTGACCTACTCCTGGTCCCAGCGGAGGGGGGACAGCCATTCCTGTCATTTCTTCCACCTTCTCTGTCGGCCACAGCTCGACAGTTCCTAGTCTGGTCAGACCTGGAGACAGCCTGATACAAAAACCTCTGACTACAGAGGGGCGTGGAGGATTCTATGGGCCAAGCAGAGTTTCCTTCTGGATAACTGAGAGTGAGGAACATGAGGAGGATTAGGCGTGTGTGAGTCAGAGGAGAAGAAAAGAAAGCAATGAGTTAAATGTATATATTTTAATGATTTATTTTCATTTTCACTTATGCATGTGTATATATGTGTCTGTGTGAATGTATGCATACATGTGTGTTCGGGTACCTGAGAAGACCAGAAGAGGGCATTGGATCCATTAGGATGGAGTTACTGGCATTAACGAGCCACCCAGCATGGGTACTGTTGGACCTGAACTTTGGTCCTTGTGATTAAGCAACAAGTGTTCTTAACCACTGAGCTATCTCTCTAGCCCCCAAATTAAACTTGACTTAAATTCAGGAGGAAAAAATCAAATGCTCCTTGTTATTTCAGGTAGCTCCTGCCCCGAACCTAGAGAACTGAGCCAGATGCAATGGAGGTCAGTCCTGCAGCCCTCTCTTCAAGCAGATCCCCCAGTATTTCCTACTCACCTAAGCCAGTGTCTTCTCAGAGAAATACAATGTGAACTACAAATGCAAGCCATGTGTAGTTTCAAATGCTCCAGTAATCATATCAAAAGATAGAAAGAGAGGCCGGGCGGTGGTGGTGGTGCAAACCTTTAATCCCAGCACTCGGGAGGCAGAGGCAGGCAGATCTCGTGAGTTCTGTGAGTTCAAGGCCAGCCTGGTCTACAGAGCAAGATCCAGGAAAGGTGCAAAGCTACACAGAGAAACCCTGTCTGGAAAAACCAAAAAAAAAAAAAAAAGATAGAAAGAGAAACAGGTGAAATTAATTTTAATGTATATTTTGTTTAATATATATTGAAAATATGATAATATAAAATATTTACATTTATTACTTTTGATACTGTCTTTGGAATCCAAGATGTATGATAGATCCCATTTCAGTTCAAGTCACATTTAAAGTGTTCATTAGGGGCCTGAGGAGATGGCTCATAATGTTGTGCATGCTGCTTGAGGGTGAGGATCTGTGTTTGGATGTCCTGTTCCTGCATTAAAAAAAAAAAAAAAGTGGCCGGGCGGTGGTGGCGCACGCCTTTAATCCCAGCACTCGGGAGGCAGAGCCAGGCGGATCTCTGTGAGTTCGAGGCCAACCTGGACTACCAAGTGAGTTCCAGGAAAGGCGCAAAGCTACACAGAGAAACCCTGTCTCGAAAAACCAAAAAAAAAAAAAAAAAAGTGGCTGTAATGACATGCGTTCCTAACTCTAGCATTGTGGAGGTAAAACAGGCAGATCCCTGGAACTCATTGTCCAACCATCCTGAGTAGATTCACTCCAGGTTCAGTGACAGACCCTGCCTCAAAAATAAGGTGGGGAGGGATTTGAGAAGACACCCAACCCCTACCTCTGGCGTATACACACATGCACACATGTTTATGAATCCACACACAAATGCACACACACACATGTATACACACACACCAATAAATAGTGTTCAATAGTTTGGGGATATAGTTCATTAGTAGTCAGCTCGCCTAGTGTGTGCAAGGCCCTAGGTTTCACTCCCAGCACCAGAGAAAAATAAAACCATGTGGCTAGTAGCAAGTGGATTAGACAGTGCAAATCTGAAATTTGAACCCCTGGCTGGGAACACTCCTCCTGAACATCAGGAGATGCTATTCACATACTTTCTCTTGCATAAAGGCAACAGAGTTGAGGCCAGGTGACTGTGGCACATGCCTTTAATCCCATCACTCAGGAGGCAGAGACTGGTGGATCTCTGTGACTTCGAGGCCAGCCTGGTCTACAGAGTGAGTTCCAGGACAGCCAGGGCTGTTACACAGAGAAACCCTGTCTCAAAAAACAAAAACAAACCCAAACAAAAAACAAAGAGGCAACAGCGCCGGATTTGTTCCGAGGGATTAGAATTTACACATCTACAAGCATGTGAATGAAAAGGTTAACCACTTCAAGATTTCAAATTCCTTTTCTTTTTTTAAAAAACGAAAATTGTAGCTACTTTGGAGAAATCCTGTCTTGTTTAAGAAGCCCAGTCACAATAGCTCATCAGACACCATTTGCAGAGTTCATGCAATTCTTGGTGCATTGGCTGCATGCTTCAGAATAAACAAGCACGGGTGCCATTCTGATGCTCTCAATGGTGCTTGTGCGCTTGTGCTCACTGTAGTGTCCACAACAGCTGAGCTGTAGGAACAAGCACTTGTGCTCACTGTAGTGTCCACAACAGCCGAGCTGTGGGAACAAGCGCTTGTGCTCACTGTAGTGTCCACAACAGCCGAGCTGTGGGCACAAGCGCTTGTGCTCACTGTAGTGTCCACAACAGCCGAGCTGTGGGCACAAGCGCTTGTGCTCACTGTAGTGTCCACAACAGCCGAGCTGTGGGCACAAGCGCTTGTGCTCACTGTAGTGTCCACAACAGCCGAGCTGTGGGAACAAGCTGTGGGTGGAGGTGGAGTAGGACGTGGGGAGCTGAAGGTCAAAGGGCGCAAAGTGGCAGGTAGGTAGGGTGACCAAGCCTAGAGATCTATTTTTCATTTTTGGTTTTTATGAGAAAAAGTCTCTCTGTGTAGCCCTGGTTGTCCTGGAACTTGCTCTGTAGGCCAGGCTGGCATCAAACTCACGGATACTGCCTCCAGAGCGCTGGAATTACACATGTGTATCACTTCTGCCAGCAAGCCTAGAGATCTAATACACAGTTAACAAAATTTTGTGGTATGTAGAATTTTTATTGAGCAATGGAGTTTAGCTGCCCTTGTCATGAAGAAAGTAACTGTGTGAGATGACAGATATGTTCATTCTCTTCACTACGGAAATCACTTTCTCATCTCTGTGTACACCGCAACATCATGTTTCAGCCTTCAAATACACACTGTAAAATTCATGTGAAAAACACCCGAAGAAAAGGAAGCACATCTTATTTTCTTTTTTTTTTTTTTTAATTTATTTATTTATTATGTATACAGTATTCTGCTTGCATATATCCCTTCAGGCCAGAAGAGGGCGCCAGATTTCATTACAGATGGTTGTGAGCCACCATGTGGTTGCTGGGAATTGAACTCAGGACCTCTGGAAGAACAGCCA